TCCTCACTTCTGACCTCTATATTTCTTTGTCAGCTCATGTTCCTCTTGCCTTCGCATTTACTTGATTTTCCACCTCTACTCAAATCTCACAATTTGCTTCTGTGTAATTCCCCTATTTCAACTCTGTAAATACCAACATTGACTTTCCTCACGCAAGAATGCGTTTGACATGTCACTGCAACAATCACTTTGAAATGTGCTATTATTGCACCATCCTTTACAATATGGTTCATTTCGGCTTAAGCATTCATCATGACCAAACGGGACTCCGTTTTTGCTGGCATCGACTCTCCTCGCGGACCCATGCACCTCCACCGCCGCCAGCTTCCGACCTCTGTGCCGCATAGCCGTGCCTCGGCCTCTTCTGATCATCACACGACTGATGATCCAAGCCGTGCATCCGGGTCTTCCAATCAACATCACTCTCGAACCACCGACTCGGGTGACACCTCGTCTAATGCTCCTCAGTTCGGATATACCTCTGATATCCCTCAGGTCCCCATGCCATCTGGATCTCATTGGCAACCCCAAGGGGAAGCTTATCCGTTGCAATCGGAAATCCAGAAACAGAACAAAGTCCTACATACTCACATCTTCAAGAAGATCGTATCTCCACCTGGCTCACATACACCAGACCGCCTGGTAGTGACAGAAGTAGATCGTCATGAAGAAGAACGAAACAGGCAACCTGAGTACTTCTTCAATGGAATCGTTGGTCATGTCAGAGCAGAAAATGGAGGCTACATAGATAGCTGGCAACAAGCCACTCGCCTTGCCAACTACTGGCGTCGTTTCTACGGCATTCCAGTGCCGGATGACAACTACCAACATTGGCACCAGCCGTGGCAATCGTCTGAAAATGCTGATCAGACATCGGATTACCAAGAGTCCCACAATGACTCTCTGATGGATGACAACACATCCAACGCGGCCAACATCGGCACATTGCCGGTTCCAAGTCAGATCCACCAATTGGCGAGTATCCTTTACGACATTCTCAACAATGACAGAGAAGCCAATGCAGCGATCCTTGAGAAGATTGAAACGGACCAATCCGACTTGGCCACCGATCCGTGTCAAATTTTCACGGCGGAAGACTTGGCCCACCTTGCCAGCCACTTGGCAACTACGACCCAAACTTTGTCGCAGCATGCTCTGGGAATGCAAATGGAGACCCTGTCCGACATTGAAGACTGACATCAGGAACGACGACTGAGCCTTTTCGCTAATTCATTTCCCTCCTTCCCTGTATTTTGAAGCCATTTCCTGCTTCAGGGAACAGATAATAGCCCTTCACCGTTGGCGATTTCCATAAAAAGCCTCGCGGCAGCGGGGCGTGTGTGTGGAACATCTGAAGATGTAAAACTTCTAACTTGCACTTGACTCGTTTTCGCCTGAGGTTCTAATCTTAGTTGGGTTTTCAACCTGATTTTCAGTAAAGGTTTCCAATCTGAATTTCAGCAGGGGGGTGCAGAGCACAGTGGAGACTGCACCCAACGAAGCTATCCACTTGTGCTGGAAGCAGAGTCTGATCAACTCTGTGTACCTGCAATTTCAATTTCTGTTTTATTTCCATTCCGTTTTCCGTCATGGCAACCGGCCAAGCCTAGAACCGGCAAGTCGATTCGATTTTCAATTCTTTTCATTTCCACACTGTTGTCGCAATCTGGAACTACTTACGGTCAATTACTGAAGACTAAGCTGCATCAGAACATTGACAGAATTACTTTGCACAGTTTTTCTGTCAGGTTTAACTGGAGTGTTTGTGCACGTGTGATGCATTCCACATCAGTAATTCGATAAGATATTTCTGAGCAAGTGTGTGTATGTGTAGCATCTGAATAGATGTAAAGCCTCTCCTTTTTCTTTTTTTCTCTCCTTCTTCTAGCAGGGGGCATGGCAGCTGTTTCCCTAGCCATGCCAACGAAGCTATGGGATTCAGCCGGAAGGGAATGTGGACGCACATTCCTGTACCTGCATTTATTTTCGTATGGCGAGGGGCTAAGCCAAGAACCCCGACAACTGACAATTTGGGTTTTTACACGGTTGTCGCAATCTGAGATCTTCTTCGGCGTCGTTTTCAACCTTATTTGCATGGTATTTTTACAGTCATGGCGAAGGGCTAAGCCAAGAACCCTACAGTGACTATTTCCTATTTCGGGGACAATGTCTATGGCTGGTTTGACGTTTTCGGAATACCTTCATCTTATTCGCGATGTTCATCTAAGAAATCTAATTTAGATCCAGGTCATCGTTTCTAATCAAATTGCATGTGAAGGGATTCAGTTCCCAACGGATCACTTAAAAGATCCATTTTTGTCTAGTGTGATTCCTATGGTGACTCCGACAAGGTGCCATAGGGCCAATGGAGGCAACCCCATTGTGGGTGAATGTCGACTGACTTGCTTTCTGAATTATCTGAATTGACATTTTTAACTGGTAATTCGTTTAAGTCTAAGTATAGTGTAACAGTTGGCCATTTCGTTTATCAGCCTTTTTTGCGCTGTCCCGCTGATCCTGTCGTCCCTTGTGAACCTATGGAACCTGAAACTCTACTCGACTGAAGCTGTTCCGAATTCTCAGAAGCCTTCATTTTACTCGCTGCAGCTCCAGCTATTGCAGAACAACACGACATGAACCATGAAAGGTGACAGGCATGTCCTCTTCCTGCAGGTATGGTCTTTTTGGTATCTGGTGAGGTACAACATTTTGCGCACCTAATTCATGGAACTTGCATAGCTGTTTGAGCCCACGTGGCATGACCTGACTACGTTCCTGGCTGGGATTAACGCACGACCCTCTAGGTTTGAACTGAATTCCTTTAATAATAATTTTGTTGTTTCACTTTCGTCACCAACTAGTCCCCCATTCGGTCCCTAATTCTTCCCCCGTCCCCCTCGGTAATGTGTTGTGGGGTTCAGGTGTGTGCTCTGTGTTGGTTAGGTCCGTCTCGCCGTGTAGGTTGGTTCTGGAGGTCCGTTTGTTCCCCTCCCCCCCTGCGCTGTTTCGGCCTTGGCCCGTCGTTTGTGTCCGCTTTTGTCTTCCTCTTGCCTTTCAGGGTTTTCCCGGTTCCGGCCGGGTGTGTGTGTAACATCTGAATAGATGTAAAACCTCTCCTTTTTCTTTTTTTCTCTCCTTCTTCTAGCAGGGGGCATGGCAGCTGTTTCCCTAGCCATGCCAACGAAGCTATGGGATTCAGCCGGAAGGGAATGTGGACGCACATTCCTGTACCTGCATTTATTTTCGTATGGCGAGGGGCTAAGCCAAGAACCCCGACAACTGACAATTTGGGTTTTTACACGGTTGTCGCAATCTGAGATCTTCTTCGGCGTCGTTTTCAACCTTATTTGCATGGTATTTTTACAGTCATGGCGAAGGGCTAAGCCAAGAACCCTACAGTGACTATTTCCTATTTCGGGGACAATGTCTATGGCTGGTTTGACGTTTTCGGAATACCTTCATCTTATTCGCGATGTTCATCTAAGAAATCTAATTTAGATCCAGGTCATCGTTTCGAATCAAATTGCATGTGAAGGGATTCAGTTCCCAACGGATCACTTAAAAGATCCATTTTTGTCTAGTGTGATTCCTATGGTGACTCCGACAAGGTGCCATAGGGCCAATGGAGGCAACCCCATTGTGGGTGAATGTCGACTGACTTGCTTTCTGAATTATCTGAATTGACATTTTTAACTGGTAATTCGTTTAAGTCTAAGTATAGTGTAACAGTTGGCCATTTCGTTTATCAGCCTTTTTTGCGCTGTCCCGCTGATCCTGTCGTCCCTTGTGAACCTATGGAACCTGAAACTCTACTCGACTGAAGCTGTTCCGAATTCTCAGAAGCCTTCATTTTACTCGCTGCAGCTCCAGCTATTGCAGAACAACACGACATGAACCATGAAAGGTGACAGGCATGTCCTCTTCCTGCAGGTATGGTCTTTTTGGTATCTGGTGAGGTACAACATTTTGCGCACCTAATTCATGGAACTTGCATAGCTGTTTGAGCCCACGTGGCATGACCTGACTACGTTCCTGGCTGGGATTAACGCACGACCCTCTAGGTTTGAACTGAATTCCTTTAATAATAATTTTGTTGTTTCACTTTCGTCACCAACTAGTCCCCCATTCGGTCCCTAATTCTTCCCCCGTCCCCCTCGGTAATGTGTTGTGGGGTTCAGGTGTGTGCTCTGTGTTGGTTAGGTCCGTCTCGCCGTGTAGGTTGGTTCTGGAGGTCCGTTTGTTCCCCTCCCCCCCTGCGCTGTTTCGGCCTTGGCCCGTCGTTTGTGTCCGCTTTTGTCTTCCTCTTGCCTTTCAGGGTTTTCCCGGTTCCGGCCGGGTGTGTGTGTAACATCTGAATAGATGTAAAACCTCTCCTTTTTCTTTTTTTCTCTCCTTCTTCTAGCAGGGGGCATGGCAGCTGTTTCCCTAGCCATGCCAACGAAGCTATGGGATTCAGCCGGAAGGGAATGTGGACGCACATTCCTGTACTTGCATTTATTTTCGTATGGCGAGGGGCTAAGCCAAGAACCCCGACAACTGACAATTTGGGTTTTTACACGGTTGTCGCAATCTGAGATCTTCTTCGGCGTCGTTTTCAACCTTATTTGCATGGTATTTTTACAGTCATGGCGAAGGGCTAAGCCAAGAACCCTACAGTGACTATTTCCTATTTCGGGGACAATGTCTATGGCTGGTTTGACGTTTTCGGAATACCTTCATCTTATTCGCGATGTTCATCTAAGAAATCTAATTTAGATCAAGGTCATCGTTTCTAATCAAATTGCATGTGAAGGGATTCAGTTCCCAACGGATCACTTAAAAGATCCATTTTTGTCTAGTGTGTGTGTTGTGTTCTTGGTCCTAGTGCCATCGGAGTCAAGCCTGTATGATGATGCAGCCAGCCATGCGGGCCATGCGATCTTTCACCAAAGAATTCCTGCCAACAGTGATAGCTTCAACCCATCTGCCAGTCCCTCATGGCCACTCTCGCGCCAAGCCACACCACACAAATCTGCGCACCAGCTAATTGGACATCAATGTCCCAACCTGATTTGGAGCGTTGCTCATGTCAATTGAATGGATAGTTGGACAGAGATGCCTCATGAAGAGAAGCCACAAAAAAGAGGGATATCTTTGGACAAGCATAGCCCAGCAGTTTTGCAGAATGCCTCCGAACTGTTCACCTTTCACCGGGCGGCACTCGAAATGAGCAGAAGATCCTTTGTCCTTCCCGCGTGTAGACGATCTGTCGTTCCCATCTTCCATTTTGTGGTCCCTGGTACAGCGGGCACAGTTAAGGGCAAACTACCGGCCAGAGCACGTTCGAGATTCTGGATCACTCAATGAAACTGACTACTTGACTGATGTGTCCAGAAATGGCACAAAAACAAAATCATCAATCCGCAAAAGCCAACAAACACACACGCAACTTATCGTCCTAAATGTTCTTGACCTTCACCAGCCTCACCGTGAAGACTCTGGAAACGCCATCAAAGCATCTGTCCACATGGAGTGCTCCAGGCTTCTTCCTGGATTTCATGTCATCTGTTCATGGCAAAGTGTGGATCATCCTAAATGACTCTAATACAGTTCCAATACCTGATTTGAAGTCATTCTTGATGGTACTCCCAATTATTGCCCAGTATACATGTATACAACATATGTCCATGCATATATGCGTTGTGCCTATGCCTATAAAGATATGCGGTATACATATATCATATACGCATCCAGTTATGCATGCATCTATCTATTCATACATAGTGTACGTACTACGTAGATATATCTATGTGCGCATGTACGTAATATGTACGTACGTCCGTGTGTACGTGTGTATGCATGTACGCAAATTGACGTATCTACGCAATACGCAAATTGACGTATGTACGCAAATTGACGTCTGTACGCAAATTGACGTATATACAGTATACATGTATATGCATTTATATACGCATTACGTGCTTAGGTATGTATAATATAGGTAGGTGGGTAGGGTAGGGTAGGGTAAGCGAGGGTAGGTAGGTAGGCTAGGTAGGCTTAGCGGCTAGGGTGAGCTAGGGTAAGCTAGGGTAAGCTAGTGTAGGCTAGGGAAAGCTGGGGTAGGTAGGCGGCAAGGTAGCGAGGTAGCTAGGTATAGCATGGTATGGCTAGATAGCCAGGTACCTAAGAACGCATACATGCATGCATGCATGCACGTATGCACGTATGCATGTATGTATGTATGTCTGTCTGTATGTATGTATGTATGTATGCACGTATGCAGTTTTGTATGTATGTATGTATGTATGCACGTATGCACGTATGCATGTATGTATGTATGCATGTATGTATGCACGTATGCATGTATGTATGTATGTATGCATGCACGTATGCACGTATGCATGTATGTATGTATGCATGTATGTATGTATGAACGAACGTACGTACATACGTACGTAGGTAGGTAGGTAGGTAGGTAGATGTATAAATGTATGTACATGTATGTATATGATTGTCTATGTATATAATGTATATGTATATAATGTATATATAATATGTATATGTATATAATGTATAAATAAATTGTATATGCATATAATGTATAAATAAATTGTATATGCATATAATGTATAAAATTGTATATGCTACAATTTTATACATTATATGCATATAATGTATATGTATATGTAAATAATATAATGTAATGCAACAACCAACATCCGATGCACACCCCAGTACATACTTAATCAGCACAAATTTTGACGGAATCTCATATGCAACGCATCTATGTATGTGTGTCTAGAGATGTCTAGAGTCTAGATGCATGGATGTCCGTATGCCTGCCTGTCTGTCTGTCTGTCTACATGGATGTAGGTATGCACGTACGTACGTAGGCGCGTACGTGCGTACGTACGTGCGTACGTGCGTACGACGCATGCAGCATGCAGCATGCAGCCAGCATGCATGCATGCATGCCTGCCTGTCTGTCTGATTCTGTCTGTCTGTCTGTCTGTCTGTCCATCCATCCATCTATCTATCTATCTATCTGTCTCTCTGTAGGTCGGTGTCTTTGTTCGTACCTACCTAGGTAGGTAGGTAGGTAGGTGGGTGGGTGTGCATGTACGAGGTAGGTATGAATAGGTATGTGATGCATGTGTATAGTTACTGGTGATGCACAGTCATTGTTTATGGGGTTTGGTCTCGAAAAGCAGCAAAAACCATGGCTGCGGTAGGAATACCCAAGTCGCTTCAAGTCGCTGACAAATCAATACCATTAAAGGGGCCAACTTGCCGAGGTGCAAGAAAAGTGCCCAGCTGGGTCCACGTTCAATGTCCTGAACCATTGGGCCAACATGGGACAACTGCATCTCCGGTTTTTGCCGATTGCAAAAATCCCTGGTACTAGTCAGGTCTACCTGTCGAAATCCATCTCAACCCTGGGGATGGGACAGTCTTCTCGGCAATAGATTGAAGGGAAACAGCGAACAAGTTGAAGGGAATTCCAATATATATATATATATTCTTCAATCTTAGACAGAAGACTGCATTCACGGAAGTAGAACAATGCGTATATAGAGAGTATGCTGCATCTTCACAGCGGAGGCATGGCCATCTCAAGAACTTCTTGTACTGTTCATTCCCTTTTGTTTTGGTACCAATCTTTGCTGCGGGGTAGGGGGTGGTTCCGCGGACTCAAACATTTTCTCCACTTTCATTTTTTCAAATTCGATCCAGGTTGGAAGGCAAGCAGGGTCATCCTTCAAATGTTCAACCACTTTCTGGCGGTGTCACTCCCTTCAGTACAAATGTGGTGCAGTCACTCCTCGCACTACTCACTTAGTGAGGAATGGGCTGAGCTCAATGCGACATTTCTTACTTTTCTTCAAATTGTGGTTGTTGATGTCCTGGCTAAGGTCTCTGCAACTATAAAGTTAGTCTTTCAACTCATGCTTGCCATCGTTGCCTAGGAGACAGCACGACAACAAAGAGTCTAGGGAGCAATCGTTTGCAATATTAATACCTCAATAAACATAGTGGCCGACAAAACATTCATTCGAAACCCAGAACTAGTCGCTGAACAATTATGGTTCCTCAGTTGCCAAACCCCGGCAGTGACTGGGCCAAGAGCCACTGGAAACAGTACGGCGTGGGGCTGCCATCCAAGAATTTCACTTTATAGTCATTTATTGTCCTATATTTCCCCGCTGGCATCATCCCGCCTGATGCAAGCTGCGGAAGGTCAAATTGGTATCATGCACGCAGCTTTCGATGAAGCCATCAAAGCCGCCTCGCATTGGACTAGTGGCACCATAGTTTGATTTCCCCAACAATTAACGGGGATAGAATGGGGGTATTACTCAAAGGAAATTTGAAAGTCTAACTTCCATGAAACGGATTTGTGCAAAACACAATCACCACTACAACCACCAACATCACAATCACCATTATCACAACATCACCACTATCACAGCCTCACCACTATCACAACATCACCGCTATCACAATCACACCATCACAACATCACCACTATCGCAACCACCACTATCACAACCACCATGATCACAATTTCACCACTGTCAAAATATCACCACTATGGCAACCACACTATCACAACATCACCATCATCACAACACTATCACAAGAACACCACTATCACAATAACACCACTATCACAATATCACCATTTTCACAATATCACCACCATCACAATATCACCAATCACCGGTATCACAATTTCATCACTACCACAACCACCAGTATCACAATGTCACAATCACCATTATCACAATTTCACCACTATCACAACCACCACTATCACAATCATCGTTATCACAAAATCACCAGTATCATCCCCCATCGAATTTCAGGGGAGACGTTGTGACCCTAACTCTGTAGGTTACAAAAATCATTCACAAGCTTGGGGCTATAGAATGAGGTTGCTGAGCTCCATTTTTCCCAAGATGGCCTTAGCTACAGCATGCCAATTCATTCCCCACAACCTTGATATAGGAGGATTTTTCCCTTGTTACAAAATGCCCTTCGTTTTCAACAACTGCACATACAAGGACATACCCTTTGCTACAAAATGCCAATGTCGCTTTCAATAAATGCACGTGCAAAGGAATATCTTTTCTACAAAATGCCACGTGGGTTTCAACAAGACTTGCACCCACCAATATCCATCAAACATTTGCTACAAAATGCCCATTTGATTTTGATAAACCCTTATGAATGTATGAAGCTCATCACGTTTTCTTACAAAATGCCACTGCTATTTCATGAAGGGCTAACATGATTAAACATATTAAAATGATTCCTTTATAAAATGAGATTCTCACAAGTTTAAACTACAAAATCTTGGGCCTGGATTTCATGTCACGGTTAGCCTGACTAAAATGAAAGCCTCTGTAAGAGGCACAAGGCCACCAACTTTTTAGCCTAAATTCGTAGGGGGGTCCATGATCACAACATCACCACTATCGCAGCATCACCACTATCACAATCGCCATTATCACAATATCACCACTTTCACAAAAACACCATGATCACAACCACCACTATCACAACATCACCATTATCACAACATCACCACTATCACAACCACCGCTATCACGATCAACATTAACACAGTATCACCACTATCACAATACCACCACCATCGAAAGCCATTATCACAACCACCATTATCAAGGAGTCTCGCACGAAAGCTTCGCTGTCACATCTGCCACTGACAGATTTTGAGGGATGTCTCGCACGAAATGCGTTTTTGAAAGTTAGCAGATGCACGAAATGTTGTGTTTTGCAGGACAAAACGTGCCTTGGATGATGGATGGGGAAGGTCTGTCGCGCGACGGTTTCGGAGCGGTCCGGAACGGTCTCGGCTATGCTCGGATCATGGTCGGATCGGCCCCGCACTGGAACTGACAGTTCAGGCGTCGTTCTGCCCAACTTGAACTTTCAAAATTTGAAGGATGTCTCGCACGAAAGCTTCGTTTTCACATCTTCAGCTTTCAGATTTTGAGGGAAGTCTCGCACGAAAGCTTCGTTTTCACATCTTCCACTTTCACTTTTTGGAGGGAAGTCCCGCACGAAAGCTTCGTTTTCACATCTTCCACTTTCACTTCTTCAGGGAAGTCTCGCACGACAGCTTCGTTGGCGCCGAGATCCGGTTTTGGAGCTGCAATTTCTCACGCTGTTGCGCGTAGTTCTTTTGTCTTTTGCAATTCGGCTCTGCAGATCGCACTGTAATGGTTGCTTGGTGCCGCGGCTGCGTGTGTAATACTATTGTCTTTTGCAGCTGGACATCGTAAATCGTATTGGAGTGGCTGGATCAAGGTTGCGATAGTGATTTGTCAGCAGATTTTCTCAATTTTGGCGCTGGTGATTTTCCTTTTGAAATTCCTTTCAAAAAAGTGCTTCAAAATCGTCTTTGTTTTGCTTTGGCGCTGAGATCCGGTTTTGGAGCTGCAATTTCTGGCACCATCGTGCCAAAATGCTTGTGTATGTAAAAGCTTCTCTGTGTAAAAGCTGTAAAAGCTTCCGTGTGTAAAAGCTTCTTGCGAAAAAGCTTCTCTGTGCAAAAGCTTGCGGTGTGTAAGGCTTCCATATTCTGTCTGTGTGTAAAAGCTTCCTGCGTGTAAAAGTTTGCTGCGTGCAAAAGCTTCTCTCTGCAAAGGCTTCTCTGTGTAAAAGCCTCTGTCTGTAAAGGCTTATCTCTGTAAAAACTTGCTGTGTATAAAATCTTCTCTGTGTAAGAGCTTGCTGTGTGTAAAGGCCCTCTGTGTGTAACAGTTTGCGGTGTGTCAAAGCTTCTCATAGCTTCTCCATCTAGTAACTTTTCTGTGTAGGGGCTTCTCTGTGTGAAGGCTTGCGTGTGCAAAAGCATGCAAAAGCTGTGTAAAGGCTTCTCTGTGTAAAAGCTTCTGCGTGTAAAAGTTTGCTGTGTGTAGCAGCCTTTCCGTGTAAAGGCTTCTCTGCGTAAAAGCTTCTGTGTGTACGAGTAAAAGCTTCCTGCATGTAAAAGCTTGCTGCGCGCAAAAGCTTCTCTATGTAAAGGTTTCTGTGTAAAGGCTTGCTGTGTGTAAAAGCTTGCTCTGTGTAAACGCTTTCTGTGAGTAAAAGCTTCCCTGTCTCTGTGTAAAAGCTTCTGTGTATACAAGCTTCTCTGCGCAAAAGCTTGCTGTGTGTAAAAGTTTCTCTGTGTCAAATCTTCTCTGTGGAAAGCGTAGGGGTTGCCTGCATTGGCGCTGAGATCAGTTTTTGGAGCAGGTTTTGGGCCAGAGTAGAACTGAGATGATTTGAGAGTGCGCTGAGAAGAGCTGAGATGAGAGGTGAGACGAGCTGACAAGAGCTGAGATCAGCTGAGGAGATGTGAGAAGAGCACAGAAGATGTGAGAAGAGGAGAGGAGAGATGAGAAGACATAAGACAAGATGCGCTGACATGAGCTGCGGAGAGCTGAGAAGAGTTGAAAAGAGCTGTGAAAATCTGAAAAGAGCTGAGTCAGCTGAGGCAAGCTGAGATGAGATGAGAAGAGATGAGAAAAGCTCAGGTGACATGAGAAGAGATGAGAACAGTTGTGATCAGCTGCTGAGAAGAGCTGAGAAATGGAGAGAAGACATGAGAATCATGAGATGGCATGAGATGAGATGAGGTGAAAAAAACTGAGAAGACTGCGGTGACAGTGGGATGCAATTAGCAATTTCCAAGAGAAGATGCGATGAGTTTTTTTATTTTTTTTTCAGCCCCCAAATCCGCCGGCGCGCGTCAGAAACGATGGGTCTTTGCCATGCGTCAGGGGGGCAGGCGGCTGGGTGAGGGGGGGTCCTCCCACCGGGTTTCGGCGAGGAGCTGGGGGAGGAAGGGGGGTGGACCGTCCATAGCATCTTCGCCCTGTGCGGGAAAGTCCAGGAGGCTCGCAGCGAGCGCTCGCGTGGCAGCAATGGATGCGAGCGCGGCCCAGCGCAGTGCCCAGGCGGTGGCTGCCGTAGATCGTGCCCAGGCTGGTTCAGTTCGGGCGCGGGCTCGGGCGAGGTGCCGGACGAGGTGCACGGCTTGGGGGGACCACCGGCCTCCTACCTCCAAACTGTCCGGGTACTACTGGTATATATTAATGGAATATCCTGGTGTATTAGTGAATTGAATTAACCAACAAAGATGTGGATTTCAGGATGTTTCGAATAATAACAAGGGAAACATTGCAAAGTTCGCTGAGGGTACCTGAGCTCAGCGAAGCTCATCTCACATAGATTCCAGGGCGTTTTCAATCATTTTCACCATCCCTGACATCTGGGCTCCCACTAACAATAGCCAGTTATGTTCTGGATGCGGCCCCATGACCCCAGCTGCCTAGATCGTTGACTTCTCCACGCTCCTCTTGTAACATGCGTTTCACGAAGGCAGACATGGCCTGCTTGGAGTTCAATGCCTGCACCGCCACAAAGCCGTCCTCACCAGCGAAAAGGACATGTGACATGACCAGATGTGCAAATCATGGGAGACACGTGAGAGGTATAGGCTCACTTCTGCTTGGATTTGCTTGGTAACTGGTGTCGGTTTGAGCTTCAGTGTGGTTGTATGCTGGCAAATTCAAAGAGTTTCAGAGCAATGACCAGAGGCATGCCAGCTGAGCAGCAGCGGGCGACGACTTTAGCTGCACTCGCGGGGTAGGCATCACATGCTGGAATGGTGAAACAAATTTCAGGCCTGGAGCCGGTTGCATTGAGACTACTAAATACGACTAAAGCCGGCAAAATCCAGCAACCTGACTCTAAGCGGAAAATAATAGACCAAGGATGATCCGCATCCGCAAAATCTGGCGTGCCAAATGGATTCAAATGGCATCTTTTCTCAGCAAAACCACATGCTTCTACAATCATCCGCGGGATCGTGGCAACCCGGGCTCAAGTGAATCAGGAAATCTAAGGAGCTTAGCAACCAGTCCTCTTCAGAGGTTAGGATTTCTTGCTAAGCTCACCGGGCCTCTTCTGGCTGCATCTGCGGGCCGGAAAAAGTTTGGGAATTTTCTTGCCAGTTGAGTTCACCGCGCCTTGTGGTCAGAGGCGAATGTAAAATGGACATTGTATGAAATTGTGACATGACTCAAGGCAGCAAACATTTATGGGAATATAAGACACAACCTGTCAAATATTAAATGCAGGAGCCTCTGTCAAAATCAAACGGCACACAAAACAAATACTTTACTTCGAACCCGGCTGCAGAGTCAAATAATATGTTGCTACTGCACCTCTTGGATCCCGTTTGCATGCAATACTTCCCATGCCTGCTGTATCTGTTTCATGCTGCTTTGCGTTGCTGCAAGTGTCTGGTATGCCAACCCGGATCTGTTGCTGCGAGCCACCAACAAGGTCACGTCCTGAGCATGCTTGCATCTTCATTCATTACTACGTTGGCAAAGCAAAACACCACATCAACATATCACATCAAATGTGTTCTGGCATTCTACTTGACATTCTCTTTGACCAGCATTCTATCAAGCACTCTATCTGACATCTCTTCTGACATTCTATTTGGCATCTTTCACTCGCAGTTGAGGTCCGGCAGTGCCCACTGAGCTCTGGAGCTCGCAATTGAGGTTCGGCAGTGCCCAGATTGGAGCTCGCTGGAGCTCGCGGATGAGGTCCGGCAGTGTTTAGTGAGATCTAGAGTTCGCTGTTGGGAGGAGGAGGAAGAAGAAAGGAGGAAGGAGAAGTAACTCTGATATAATCTAGAGACCCTCACCTGGGAGGTGGGGAACTTTGAAATTGGTAGAATATACATGAATATACATATTCTGCCGTTCTGGTAGGTGGTTTCAATCCATCCCAACGGCATGAATAAATCATCTGGGATTATCGTGCTAAATATCTCAATATCTGATCTCAATGGATCTCATAGGGTTGAACAAGCACAATTGTTTGAACCGACAAGCAGTTTCTTTGATTGTTTTCCTCACGAAGAAACCCTCCGATGATTTCAAACAAGTTGCGAGCCCCCCTTTGCTTTCCTCAGTTCTCCTCTAGCTGGCGGTGTTGCAGCGATAACAACTTGGTGACTTACAGTGAAATGGGACACCTAGGGGCCTGCAAAACAGCTGTCATTTTTGCAGTAGATAGTTCGATGTAGTATTATGTCGTATTCAACCATCCTGACTTGGGATAACCTTGGCTGAATAATTCTAATTTTGACTACAGTAATTCTGAGCCTTTCCAATCACAGCTCACGAAGCAGACTTTGCGAGGATCACCTTCACTCAATCTAGTGGGAAAACGGTTGCACACCAAACATTCCTTACAAAATACTTCCTTCCAATATCCTGGAAAGGACCTAGTAGAGATATGTAGAGATCGCCAAAATTCACAAGGTAACTCACGCAGGATCAACTTTTCTTTCTACATTCTGCAGGATCCCTGTAAATGCAAGGGCGAACACGTCGAACTGGCATCTTTTAATTTTCTTCTCTGGGGGTGTGAAGCACTTGAACATCACTTTATGATGCCTTTTGCTGAACAAGCGTGTTTGAGCCTCCCAACATTGTCCATGGAATGGTAATATAAATATATAGTTGCAATATACGAGTGTATATATATATTATAATCTTACAATTATACAATATGCATACCGTATACGTATGTATGTAAATATTCCAACCACATGTGACACAACCTGTGTTTCCCCCCAACACAAATACGTGGTGTATCCATGTGCATCCTGGCTCCTCCTTCTTGCAGCACCTGATCCAAATGGTTGGCGGACCGCACGGTGTCAAAATGATCCTTCCCCAGTACCTCCCTGCGACATTGCAAGACGTCACGGAGGATTTCTTCGGCCTCTTCCAGTCGTCCTGATCCGTAAAACCACGTTTGCGTGGAGTCTAGATCCGGGGATCAAGTGTATATGTATATAGTATATATATATACAATTATATGATTGATCATGATAAGTCATGCGTGATTGACATTGTTGGAATTTGTTGGAGGCCAATGCAATGCTTCAATATGAACGAAAATGATTGAATGATATTCAATATGATTCAATTCAATTCTTGTGTATTTGCGTTGCGCACCTGTCGCCCGAAGCAAACAACCAAGACTGTCGCGGGATCGAAGAGTCTGCGGGTGCTTGTCTCCCAGGGTGTCCAGTGCGATCTGCAGCACTTTGCGGTGCAACTGCTCAGCATCTTGGGTACGTCTCCGCCGTTGCATGGCCAGTGCGAGATCGTGAGTGAACCTCAGCGTGTAGGGATGCTGCTCACCTAAGGTCTCCTCCGAAGCAGCCACCACCTCCTCGTGAATTTGGAGAGCCTGCCTCAAGTCCAACCTCGTTTTCCAATGGTTTTTGGCATCTTTTGGCAATCATAATATCATATTATATCGTAACCAGGTTTCCCTTCTGCAAGAAAGGTCAACACATTGGGGGAAAACACACACATTCCTCATAAAAGAAGATACCTAGTTGCTGCTCTTGGAGCAAGCAAGCCAAGTTGTTGGCTGAAACGAGGCTGTCCAGATGTTTGTTCCCCAAGCCTTCCTTTCGAAACTTCAGAACTTCGGCGTGCAACTGCCTTGCCTCAATTAGTCGGCCTCGGCCATGCAACAAACATGCCAAGTTGTTGCTGAAACGCAAGGTCTCTGGATGGTTGCTTCCCAAGGAAGTCTTGGACACCTCAACCACGTCTCGTTGAAGGTGTTCAGCCTCATCTAGCCGACCCAACTCCTCCAGGATACGTCCAAGACTGCTCATGCACGCCAGCGTGTGCGGATCCAATTGACCAAAGGCTTGGCGACAGCTTTCCAGAAGTTCCTTTTGGAGGTCCAAGGAGTCAGCCAACTGGCCTTTGTCCTTCAAAAAGAGCGCCAGGTTGTGAGTGACTAACAGAGTGTCCGGATGCTTCCTGGCGAACCCAAAACAAAGTGAAATAAATTGAAATACAAGAAACATCACGAAACTCGCGATGTATATATATATTATATATATAAATATATCTATATCATTAATTATCCTTATATATATATAATATACCTCCTCTCCCACTGCTTTACATGTGCAAACCCAAAACACCAAAACCCGACAGAAAAAACTCACACAACATCACAACATTACTGCTGATAAGCTGCTTTCCAAAAACTTTTCCACTTCTTCTCAGCGCCCTGCGGAACTGTTGTTCTGCTTCCTGCCACTTTCCGGTCTCTTGAAGAAGGCACGCCAAGTTGTTGCTGGTACAAATGGTGTCGGGATGATTGACACCAAACACTTCGACCGTGTTCCGCAGCAGCTGGCCATACAACTCCGTAGCTTCCTTGAGGCATCCTTTCTCTCGAAGCGTGAACGCAAGGCTGCCACAGCATTGAAGTGTCAGGGGATGTTGTTCTCCATTGACCACGCATCTGATCTCCCAGACTTTTCGGTGCAACTGCTCGGCCTCTTCTACAGCCTGCGTTGATCCTTTTCTCTGGAGAAACCGTGCTAAACAACTGCTCAATTGCAGAGTCGCAGTGTCTACATCTCCCAGAGTCTCAGAGCTCTGTTGCAGTTCCTTCTTCAACACTTGCTCCGCTTCATGGATCTCCCCATTGGCCTCCAAAAGCAGGACCCAGTCAGCGATGCATGTCACGAAGTTGGCATGATGCTTCAGGTTTGGCAGATCGTGCAGCTCTCGGTACACTTCCAGTGCCGCACCCTGTTGCCCACTGGTCTTCAGCAAGAAAGCCAAATTCATTCCCGCATTAACCTGGCTGATGTTGAAACATCTGAGCATCCATCACAAAGGATGAAAAAAACCATGCTAGAATATTGTATCACCTTCCCACCCCATGAATATCATGAATAAAATCATTGAAACAATTTGAAACCACCAAAGCATAAGCAAAGCCACCCGTGCCGATGTGTCTTCCCGCTGCGCTTCCCAGCGCTTCCTCTGCAAAGCGAGGAGTCGGTTTTCTCCAGAAATGGGCATCGCCTTGAGTTGCCCAGAGTCCAGGCACCAAATGTCCACAGTCCAAAGGTCCCGCCAATCTGGTTCCTAGCGCTGACAACACCACCGTAAAGGGCATATAGCGCCCATAGAGGACACACACACACATATATATATATAAATATGTACATACATATGTATACGATATGCATGCAATGAAATGCAACGTGCAATGTAATGCAATGTCATGTAGTGTAGGTAGGTAGGTAGGTAGGTATGTATATATGTATGTAGGTAGGTATGTAGGTATGTGAAATGTGGGTATGTAGGTACGTAAGTATGTAAGTATGTATGTATGTATGTCTGTCTGTATTCATGCATGCATGTAGATATGTATGTAGCTATGTATGTATGTAAATCTGTCTGTATGTAGGTATGTAGGTATGTAGGTATGTAGGTATGTAGGTATGTAGGTATGTAGGTATGTAGGTATGTAGGTATGTAGGTATGTAGGTATGTATGTATGTATGTGTGAATGTGTGAATGTGTGTATGTGTGTATGTGTGTATGTGTGTATGTATGTGTGTATGTGTGTATGTGTGTATGTGTGTATGTGTGTATGTGTGTGTATGTGTGTGTATGTGTGTGTATGTGTGTATGTGTGTATGTGTGTATGTGTGTATGTGTGTATGTGTGTATGTATGTATGTATGTATGTATGTGTGCGTGTGTGTGTATGTATGTGTGAATGTGTGTATGTGTGTATGTGTGTATGTGTGTATGTGTGTATGTATGTAATGTAGGTTACAGATTAGTACAGGGGGGACCCCCCCCCTCCCTTAACAAATTTGGGGTACAGAATAGTGTGGAAAAAACAGGGTATCGGGTACGCAATAGTGTGAAATCAAAAAAAAATGATAGATTTCAATTGACTTCAATTTACTTTGAATTGAATTCAATTTACTTTGAATTGATTTCAGTTTACTTTGAATTGATTTCAATTCACTTTGAATTGATTTCAATTTACTTTTAATTGATTTCAATTTACGTTCAATTGATTTCAATTTACTTTCAATTGATTTGAAGTTACTTTCAATTGATTTCAATTTATTTTGAATTGATTTCAATTTACTTTCAATTGATTTCAATTTACTTTGAATTGATTTCAAGTTACTTCCTTTTGATTTCAATCTACTTTGAATTGATTTCAATTTATTTTGAATTGATTTCAATTTATTTTGAATTGATTTCAATTTACTTTCAATTGATTTGAAGTTACTTTGAATTGATGTCAATTTATTTTCAATTGATTTCAATTTACTTTGAATTGATTTCAATTTATTTTGAATTGATTTCAATTTACTTTGAATTGATTTCAAGTTACTTCCTTTTGATTTCAATCTACTTTGAATTGATTTCAATTTATTTTGAATTAATTTCAATTTACTTTCAATTGATTTCAATTTACTTTCAACTGATTTGAAATTACTTTGAACTGATCTCAATTTATTTTGAATTGATTTCAATTTACTTTGAATTGGTTTCAATTTATTTTGAATTGATTTCAATTTACTTTGAATTGATTTCAATTTACTTTCAATTCATTTCAATCTACTTTGAATTGATTTCAATTTACTTTGAATTGATTTCAATTTACTTTGCATTGGTTGCAATTTACTTGCAATTGATTTCAATTGATTTCAATTTACTTTCAATTGATTTCATTGTACTTTGAATTTACCTTCAATTGATTTCAATTTACTGCCAATTTACTTTCAATCGACATCCCATAGAAATCCAATAGTAGTCCCAAGGGAATATCATAGAAATACCATGGAAACCCCATAGGAATCTCACAGAAATCCCATAGAAAGATCATAGAAATAACATGGAATAACATAGGAACCACAAAAGAAATCCCATGAGAATTCCAATAATAATCCCATAGAAATATCATGGAAATACCTTGGAAACCCCACAGGAATCCAATAGAAATTGCATAGGAATCCAATAGAAATACCATAGAAATCCCATAGGAATCCAATGGAAATCCCATAAGAATACCATAGAACTCCCATAGCACCCCTTCCGAAATCCCATAGAAATCCTCCAGAAATACCATAGAAACATCATGGAGACACCATAGGAATTCCATAGAAAACTAAGAGTAATACCATAGAAATACCATAAAAGAAAAAAGCTTTAGCAAAGGAAAAGGTAAAGGGAATGCTTGAAAAAAAATCACACCAGGAAGCATCTGGACACAATAGTGTACCCCCCAAACAAACCACACTATTGTGTATCAGGGTTGCTCATGGACTACCCCCTTGAAAAATTGTTTGAGTGATGTTTTTTAATTGGGTTTTAAAAAGGCATCATATATTATGGGAAACTGGGCATTTCTGAGAAAACTAAGAAAGTAATTAATTAATTTAAAAGGAAAACACTTTAGCAAAGGAAAAGGTAAAGGAAATGATTGCAACAAAAAACCAAATTACCTCAGGAAGCAGCAGGACACAATAGTGTACACTCCAAACAAACCACACTATTGTGCATCAGGGTTGCTCATGGACTACCCCCTTGAAAAATTGTTTGAGTGATATTTTTTAATTGGGTTTTAAAAAGGCATCATATATTTTGGGAAATTGGGCATTTCTGAGAATTTCAAATGAAAGAAACTAAGAAAGTAATTAAGTAATTAAAAGAAAAAACTTTAGCAAAGGAAAAGGTAAAGGAAATGATTGAAAAAAAATCACACCAGGAAGCATCTGGACACAATAGTGTACCTCCCAAACAAACCACACTATTGTGTATCAGGGTTGCTCATGGACTACCCCCTTGAAAAATTGTTTGAGTGATGTTTTTTAATTGGGTTTTAAAAAGGCATCATATATTTTGGGAAACTGGGCATTTCTGAGAATTTCAAATGAAAGAAACTAAAAAAAATAATTAAAAGGAAAACACTTTAGCTAGCAAAGGGAAAGGTAAAGGAAATGATTGAAAAACATCAAAAAATCATGACCTCAGGAAAGCAGCTGGACACAATAGTGTACCCTCCAAACAAACCACACTATTATGTATCAGGGTTGCTCATGGACTACCCCCTTGAAAAATTGTTTGAGTGATGTTTTTTAATTGGGTTTTTGCAGAAAATTTATGACACCCCAAAGCACGCAGCAGCGCTTATTTCTTGAGCCAAAACATGAGTGACATGTTATGTGAAGCGTCAGACCTAAACACCCCTCCTAAGCCAACATCTCACAGATGGCGGCTTTCTTACACAAGCTGTTTAGCCTGCGCGTGCCGTCCATCAACTGCTTTCTGGCCCATTCGAGCCATGTGTTTCCAGCATTGGTCGGCTGTAAGAGGTTTCGTGCATAGATCTGCTAGGTTGTTGTCTGTTCCAACGGCTTCAACCGCAAGTTCTTTTGATCCCACCTTTTCCTGGATCCACAGATATCGACTTTGCACATGACGGGTCTTTCCAAGCCCCTTTCTTGAGACAATTCCACGGGCCGCAGAACTGTCCGAGTAGAGAATGAGGTTCAGCGGAAGTCCCCATTCACTCATCATCGTCTTCAGGCCAAGTCCAACGCACCCAGCCTTAACCAGTGCGTAGAACTCGCTCTCTCCACTGCTCAGACTCACCGTCGACTGTAAGTTGCACGAGTGTTTGATGCAGTGGGAACCGAGCATACATATTATATTCCAGTTGTACTCCGACGTGTGCGAAGGTCTCCAGCGTGGTCGGAGTCACAGAAAACTCGGATTGCATTGTACATTCGTTGTGGCTTGTATTGATACACCACACGAGGTTTTCCAACCAAGTAGCGTCCCAGGCGTTTGAGCTTTGCCCAAGAGTAGGAAGTAGGCGCTTGCATGTGCCGCGCCAAGCTCTTGACAGCTTCACTTATATCTGCCCGGTCGCTCGAAAGGTAGGCTGCCCGCATTGTCAGCGAGCGGTATAAGGTGGCTTCCTCTTTCTCCAGAGTCGGAAGGTTTTCGGAAGCCGACACCTCATCAGCCTTCTGTTTCTCAGCCGGCGTAGCGACTGATTTTCCCTCTTCAAGGCCAAGTGCCTTGATGATGTACTCTGCATGTCTGGCATCTGCCTCGTAGCTGAGAATGCCAGATGTCTTGTCGAAGCTAAGCGCCCTGTTCAGCACACACATGGATGTTCCATCCTGTGGTCCTGGTCCCAGGAGTCCATCCACGCGATACTCAAACTTTTGCTTCAACTTCTCTTCCAAGAACTTCAGGCCATCTTCATCGCCCAAAGCTACAAAAGGATCTCCGTGCACCATGAATCGAAGATCTCGCTCCTTGTGCATGAACAGCGCTGGCCGTCCAACGCATTGTTCGATGCCACATTCCTTCAGCAATTCCACATAGGTTGCTTGTCATATGCTTGCTGCATCCAGCGTTCCGTACATGCTCTTCCGAAGGAGGGCGCGCTTGCCGGCTTGTTTGTGTCCTTCCGGTAGCCGACAGAACACGCGCCTCTTTGCCAACCCGTAGAAGTGTGCCCTGCTGATATCTATCAGCATCATTTTGTATGGTTTGCCATGTGTGCTCGTTCTCTTTGAAGTCATCAGAGAGCACAGGACTTTCAACGCCTCCAGTGGCGGCATTGCCGAGAAGGATTCGAATTCTGCCAGCGGTTTGCTGGCCTTCTTCACTTCACGCACCACCAGTCTTGACCGGTAGTTAGGATGAGCTTCGTCACCCTTGTTTCGGTCCACCCATTTAAGGGTAATGGGCGCCCGATTGGTTTCTTCCCAGCAAATCTTCTCGTCCACTGTTTCCCAGAGTTGTTGCTTTTCTACCCATTTCATCTCATCATTCCTGGCCGCTCGCACCTTCTCTGGGTCGAGCACGATCCCAGTGACTGGGTCGTAGTATTCTCCTTCAGGCACATTGTCTGGGTCGAAGAACTCTTCGGTCTGCTCGTTGCCAGTGTCATCGGGACAGGGCCCTGCAACAAGTTCCGACAGTGCGGAGAGTTCTCCTGCATTTCGAAGCTCTTGACGGATTCTGCGAAGAATCGCGGAGACAAGCTTCGGAGGGTAGACTTGAGCATGCTTGGCTCTCCCATTGATCAACTGCACATGTCTATGCATTCCGCTGCACTTCTTCTCCAGGGTCTTTGCTAGTTCCTTCGAATTTGTGAGCCACATCAGACGAATCGTCTGCTTCCTTACGTACCCGATGCCCTCATTGTCTTCCGAGGTCATATGCCAGTGGCACATGGGAGACTCGACCAAGTGGATTCCTTCGAGCTCGGTGAGCCTCTTTATCTCGTCTTCTTCCCAACTTGAGCTTGGCTTCGGATGTTCGTGAAGAAAGAACCGATCGTTCCGATGTTGTTCCAGGTAAGCATCCGTGGCCACCTTCAAATGCGTCTTTCCTTCTGCCAGAATTTCTGCATTCTGCTCTGGTGTCCTCTTGTTCTTGCTCAAGTTCTGCAAAGGACTGAAGGGCCCGCAAGGAGGGGACCCAATCAACAACGCCGGTTTCTCCTTGCGCTGTAGCTCCCTCAGCATCTTTTGGTCTTCCTTCTTCGAAAGATCCCAGTGTTCTCCTTGTTCATTTTTGCACAAAGTCAAGTCGATTGCGAATCCAGGCCTGAGTCCAAACCGATTGGCTTGGCTCGTGAATCGTTTGGGATTATAGATCTCTGCCACATCCACTTTTGAGCCACTCATCGGCATGAGTAACTGTCCGATCTCCAGCACCTCCTCTTCTGGGGCGCTTGCCATGATGCGTGACTGCAAAATGCTCGCCACGTCTTTGGTAGCTTGCGCTCTCTCTGGCCGTCCTGCCGTCGAAGCGCTTGCACTTGAGCTTGATTCATCTTTGGATCTTTTCTGATCCTGTTTGATCTCGTCCATGAGTTGCTTGAATGTCCTTTCGTCCTGCGTTGGGTCCAAGGCCCTCTTGGTTCCTTGGCCCTTTGCTTCATCCGCCTTCGCCTTCTTTGATCCCTCGGGAGACCCCTCCTCAGATGATCTCTTCCTCGACGGAGACGGCCGAACCAAAGGTTCGACTCGCTCCCGCGGAGGGCTCCCAACGGCATCAGGCGCATGCATTTCTTCTTCGGCGTCAGGCACATCCTCTAAGGCGATCTGCTCTTCGCCCTCTGTACCTGTTTCGGCCTTTCGCTTCCGAGCGGTCTCCACTCTCAGCTTCCCTTCTTCGGTCTCACGCAGTCTCTGCTCGACGGACGTTCTGCACTCACTGTTGTGTGACCTCACCGGTGCTCCAACTTGCAGTGCTATGCACCCAGGACACCCTGGTGTGTAGTGCCCTTCAACGTCCTTCCTTTTCACATACAGACTCCTCGGGGCGGAATCTCTCTGAGCTGGTTCGGGTAGCAGCTTTTCACCTTCCTCCACCTTGGGAAGTTCGATCGGGATCGGCAGGGAATCCACGTCGCCTGCCATCCTTGGTCTGAGGTTCCATGGAGTGCCTCTCAGTTTCTCCATGTCCGATGGATCCCAACGCTCTTGTTGGGTCATTCTTTTCACACTGCTGCCCTTGATGACCCCTTCAGAGGTCATTGCCATGATATCTCCATTCCTACCATGTGTCCCTATGTATCTTCCGGACATCAGCTTGTTTTCCAATCGTCCAGCACCCGCGGTGTAGCTTTTGAGGGGGCGGAACCAGATTCGCTCCCCGAACATCACGACTGGCCTTCGCCATTTTCGACCTTTCAGGCGCTCATACCCTGTCTTCCCATCATGGCCATTGATGCGGAAGCGGGACATCAAGAAGTTGGCGTGCCGAGCAAGCCAAGTGAGGACTGGATGTGCATCTGGGATTTCCATACCCAGCTTTTCCTGAAGCCTGAAGCGCGCTCTTCATGGCGCGGCATTGACCCTTGGTCTCACGGACGGAAACCTCTGCCAGCCCATTGGCTTGACTGTCTCCCGTCTTGGACTCCTCAAGCACGATGTCCATCTTTGATGCAGCCTTCACTGCACTCTTGAGCAACTTGATAGAGCGTTCATTGTCGCTCTTCATCACCAGCTTCCGATAGCCGACTTCATCCAGGATGTTCAGCACGAAGTTCACCGCGAATGGGTCAGCTCCCTTCGCCGGAACTGCCGACGACCAGCACATGAGCGCTCACATGTTGGTGTGCGAGTCTCGCACCTGAAGGTGCGGCAGTCCTTGTTCGTCTTTGCTGAAGAAGAAGTAGTCCATGGCCAACACAGGAAGGCCTTCGCCCTCCTCCTTCTGCTGAGTGTGTCTTTCCATCAGTCCGCGAGCACGCATGCAGTGTCCACACCAGCTCCGGGCAGGCATGCCCTGTCATCTCGTGCTCCTCGATCTCCAAGGCGGTGGGCTCCGTAGGGCTCTTCAAGCGCTTCGGCTTGATCCCCACATCCACATCGACGGCCTCTTGGCTCAATTCGAGCCCTTCACCGTCTCCGCCTTCCACTGTCGCCGGACTTACGGCCTCGTGGCCTGCCCCGGAAAATCCGAAGCTACGGCCCCGATGTCCACCTTGTCTTCCTTCTTCTCCTCTGCCGTGCCATTCACCCATAGATCGAAGACGTAGATGCCCTTGTGCACATACATCTCCGTCATCTGCGCTGCTTCCTCGGGGTACTTTTCTTTCAGCATCTCTAGGTGTTTCTTCATCTCCTTGGCGATTCTGCTGTCCTTGGGGATGATGTTGCCACTGTCACCTCCCAGGACAACCATGTTCTTCTTTGTAAGGGCTGTGCCGCTGACCAGAGTTCTGTGAACATTCACCAACCTGCCCTGAACGCTTCGGCCCCGGCCGTGGTGATCATAGCCTTTCACCAGAACTCCACCTTCATCTTCCAACAGTTCTCCTGAGGCTGTTTTGTAAGACGTTGAACTATTCCTGCGATCGCCCTTCAGCAGCCCGGCTTCTGCCAAGTGTTTCGGAACAGCGGTGATCGCTGCACCAATGTTAAAGTTGACCACCAACTTAGTCCAACCCTTCTCACTCCACTGAACTTCGTCAGCGGACTCGAAGGAGTTGATCTCACCCTTGGCCTCCGTCGACTTGATATTCCTTTCGCTTCTGATTCTTGCTCCCATCCGCTCGTTGATGAACCCATACTCTCGGTCCACCTCGGAGTGTTGCATTTTGCACTTGTTGCCAAATTGGCAAAACGATGTCTTGAACTTGAAACATCTCATCTGGTCGTGCGGGTGATTGAGGTAGAAGTTGAACTCGTTCTTCTTCCTGTTCTCTTTTCTTGCTTGCTTCACCCTCTGGGACCTCTTCAACTTCTTGTCTTTGGTCATCACCCGGGCTCTGGCCTTCCGGATGTCGACCCTCGCACGCTTCATCACTCGCATCTCATCCTCCTTGGTTTCCTGAGTGAACTTTCCAATCTCATCCTGAGTCAGCCGTCGATACTTTCGAGCCGACTTCATGTAGACTCCTTCATCTTTCTTCTTCAGTGCGCCTCGACGCACCTGTGTTGCTTCTCCTTTCAGCACTCTCATTTTGTCACCTTTCACGACCACAGCCTCCGTCTCAAGACCTTCGAACGCCTCATTCTGGTATTCACTGTCACCGAAGCGATTGCAGCCAGCTTGTCTGGGCAGAGATATCCCTTCAGGGCCGGGAGGCATCAGAAGGGCAGGTGTGTTCGAAGTCATCAGATTCGTTACTGCGGCGGAATCGCAGAGAAAAGGAACGCAATATGCGGTTGCATTGGGAAACATCATTTTGAGATAGTCATGCCTTAGTTGATTGATCCGGCCATTTTCAGTCTGCACAAGCATCAGTTCTGACAGGTCAGCAATGAAAACAGCAACCCCCCAAAACACCAACAAGTTTGAGGGATTTTGAGGGTATCTGTAACTGGGCAGGCCGTCGCTTACACCTCCAAATGTTTGTCGCTTGTAACTCCAAATAGGGACCGAGACTGTCCATGGCGACATCGATGTTTTTTGCCGTTTCAGGTTCTGAGACACAGAGGAACTCGTTTCCGTTTTGCATTGGTTTTTGTGAAACATTGTGAAACTATTGTACTTGATTTGATTCTCATGTTGGGATGTGGGGAAAGTTAGCATCCCACCCCACCCCACCCCACCCCTTGTTCAGCAGGTATGTGTGCCAGTGTTTGTAGTGTTTGTGACATTCTTGCTTTGCAAGTGCCATGGAACGTTAGCATCCCACCCCAGCCCACCCCTTTTCTTGTCTGGATCGAAAAGGGGCTCGAGTCGCAAGTGACATATATGAGATGTAAGTGACGTGGGTCGCAAGTGAAAGTGACAGCTCCGCCACCTGGACTCCTGGGGCCACCAATTTCCAAAGAATGGTCACAAAGGATATGGTAAGGTTCTCAACCATGCCTACAGTAGCTCAAGCAGGGGAAGTCACAAGTACATGGGTTTGTCTGAAAGTGGGCATCCCAAAATTTCATAGTTGATCCATAGTCTCATCTTCCTCATACAAAACTACAATTTCGGAGTATCTCGTATCGTATCCCCTATTTTGATCTAATTTGGGACGACCCACAAGAACTCCAGGCGGCATTGGAGTGCCGATGAAGTCTCGGGCTGCCGAAGCCGTGGGCATTGGCCGTGAGCCTTGAGCTGCTTCCCAAGCTGCTTTCGTCGGCCAAAAGCAATTTATGAGAGCTTCATCTTGAGAGATCCACCTGGATGACGAGAGTGTGCTTGCCCCGAAAACAATTTGAACAACCTTGAACATGTTTGAACACCTATCAAGTATTGGAATTCAACATGGTCAATAGTTGCAACAATGGCCGTTGTCTCCTCCCCCGGGGCTCATCAAGGCCTGTCTGGTGCTTTGCTGGCAGCATCTGGTCCAAGGCCAAAGTTGGAGCCATCCTCCAAAACGGCTTGCATGAAGAGATTGCAGCGATTGTTACCACCGTCGACCAGAAATCGGATTTTTTTCCTTGGATGCCCGCTTTCTGAAGAACAATGCAGTGTGAACTCCATTTTTAGGGACAAAATACGTGAAAAATTGGTGAACTGCTCAAAGTGGAACTGGAGTTACACGCGGAAGTAGCTATGACCCAAAACGACAACCACGCTTGTTGGGTAGGTGGCTCATGTGTCTGCTTGAGTGTCTGACTTCAACAACTTCAACAGGAATGCTGGATGTGGATTTGGATATCTGCCACTGCGGCTGAAATATATCATTGATATTCATTGACCAATCATCCCTACCTGTATTCAGTCGTCTAAACAAACAACGGGCGAAGAACTGGTTGTTCAAAACCATCCCCAGCACAGTAAGGCAACAGGGATCATCATCATCCTATTTAAGTTGAAGGGAGCATCAACAAAACAAAATTCCGAAACCAACAGCCAATCATATTGATCTTTCTTATCCTCATGGAAAGGCCATTGTTGCTGAATTTTCATCCGGCATTTCATCAACTGCAGCAGGTTTTTGCAACTTGAAACTGTAGTTCATGATAGTTCCTTGGTATCCCCAATTTCTATGGGATTGCATACAGCTATATACAGCTATTCCCATAGCTATTTCCATGGGTTATCATCCAATTGCAGCGTAAGTTTCTCGGTGGTGTAGAAGTACAGCAAGCAATGGTCTGATCCAGCGCGTCGCCGCAAATCAAGAGCACAGCTCCAGACCTGGGCCCCGCGGTCCGCGAACAACACCTCCAGAAATGATTGATCCAAAAGGTATGAATATATTATATATATATGTGTGTGATTATATATATATGCGAATAAACACACACACATATATATATATACAAATCTGCGTGCACACAAGAAATACACCTATCAATACTCATCCACATAAATCCTAAACAAATCAAAAAATATATATATACACCTATATATCTATCAACCAATCTCCCGTGCTCACAGCATACGAAGAAAAGCATTTTTTTGGGCCAAAGTACGAAAATGCCCGTTTGCTTATGCTTCAAGACGTCTGCCGGTGACCCTGCCAGATTCGTTATCTCATAGCCGTGCTCCTCTGCTGCAAAAATCTCTCCCTCCCAGAAGGCTGCGCTGAGAAAATAGTCATCGAGCGGAGACGTGATCCCAGCCATAGACGTGCATGGGTTGATGCTTGATGGGTGAGGTCCCACGGAGGTCTCGCGCAGTCTTCGCCAAGCGAAGGCTTTCCCCACGCCGATATATATATATGTGTGTGTGTGTGTGAAATTTTGCTTGAGAAGATCGTTGCAGTTCTGGTGGCCTGCCAACTTCTGCTAGATTCTAGTGCTTGTGGAGTGACGATCATTGAAGCATGGACGTTGGAAAGCTCGTACTTGTTTCAGTGGAGAACCACTTATGGCTGCAGTTTTTGGACGCATGACTGCTGTGCAGGCGTGGCATGGTGATGCATGGTGTCCTGTCACGACGAGGCTCCAACAAGCGTCCAGTGCAATTCACGGAATACAGTCCTTTGCGCCTATCTGATCGATGTGTAATGACATACGCTGAAAAGAACCTATGACATTTGCACATGTGTTGACACGTACTATATGAGTTTCATGAGCAAACACAAACAGGTACAAGTCATTGCGAAGAGTTACAGGCCCTCTGTGAAACCAGTCCTGTGAGAGAGGACTCGTCTTGCCCACCATGGTCTCATCAAGTGCTCCATCCTGAGTTGCGGATGTCTCCTGGGTCTGGGTCGGGTCAAATATACTTATACCTCTATACATATTATTATTCATAAAGTGCGAACCCCCCTGCCTGGATGACTTGAGACGAAGCATGTCAAATTTTGTGGTTGATTGGACACCGAACCTGATTAACCCACACCCTCCCATGCCTGTGGCAATGGAGACTTTAAGCCAAACCACGCTTTTTGATGAGAGGAGGTGACTCGGCCGGGCATTTCTCTCCTGGAAAGCTCAGTATTCAACCAAAACATACACGACTGTAAGTTGGAGGATGCAAAAACGACAAGGAACATAACCCTAGCTAAGGCCAGAACATGTCGGGACATTTCATGAAAGGACTTCGAAGGGACATTGAACAATAGAATGGGAATAGACTACCGCAAACTAAGATAAGGGAATCTGCCAGAGATGGATCGAGGGGTGCATGTCAAATTTCCTTAAGCGGAGCTTTCATGGCCCTTTCAGGAACGGCTGCGGCATGTTCCTTTCGAGCAGCAATAGTGAGTGGTGTACTGAGATATTTCCTATGGCCACCAACTTCTTTCATGTTCCCATTTCCAACTTTGAGGGCGCCCAACCTCCTCTTCGGCATCATCATCGCTCGCCTGTACTTCATCTGAAGAACGTGCTCTGATTCCTCTACAAATGGTTGAATGATGTTTTGCGCGTGTGAACCCCTGGGACAAAGGGGCTAGCAGTATTGATATATAGTGAAAAACAACTTTCCTTCAAGCACTTCAATACGAAATACGGCCATGTGATGGATTTGTGACATGCAGTAGGTCAAACCATTCAACTTGTCATGCAAATCCCAGACGATCCTCTGTCACCATACATCAACCACTTTCATCAGAGGGCTTGATCATGGTGGATCCAAGTGGCCAAAGTTCATGGCCCAACACATCCCACTAGATTTCTTTTTTTGGCGCCCAGTCCAAAGGTTTGACCCTCCTGTAATGCAATGAGGTTCTGCGATCTGTTGCAGCGAAAAAAGAACTACACCTACCAATGCAAAACAAAAGGCGTCAAAAACAGGAGTCGACCTATCATGCTAAGCAAATTCCCGTTCTCCTTTTGATGCCTGGCGGGGTTAGTTGTGATAGAGGTTTTGACACACCCTCAAAGAAGGTTCTCGAACCCCGTATCGCGAATAGAAGAAGAAAATAATAGAATGAACGCAACGCCCAAGAGAAATGTAAACTCCGACTAGAACAGTGGAAATCACTTTCCTATCTTTGGGCTGTCGGACTGCATTCCACTCTTTTTTCTGGCATGCAACACGAAGCTTTTGTTAGCAATGGAGACTATGTCGATCCATTGCCAGCTTGTTATTGTTGTTCCATGGTAGGAACTGTTGACATTCACGTTTTCCCATGGTAGGGAAGTTCTGAACTTCTTCTCGAAATTTTTGGTCAACAGTTTTGTTGACTTCTCCCGGAAATTTCTTTGAAACTTGCTTTGAAACTTGGCCCTTCCAGGGTGGGTGGTTTGCGGGCTTAACTGAAGTTCTTTGAACCACAATGCCACCAAAAAATGGTTTCATTCCACCTCAGCCCAAAATTCTAGAAGAATACCTGGGCTGTCGGACTGCATTCCACTCTTTTTTCTGGCATGCAACACGAAGCTTTTGTTAGCAATGGAGACTATGTCGATCCATTGCCAGCTTGTTATTGTTGTTCCATGGTAGGAACTGTTGACATTCACGTTTTCCCATGGTAGGGAAGTTCTGAACTTCTTCTCGAAATTTTTGGTCAACAGTTTTGTTGACTTCTCCCGGAAATTTCTTTGAAACTTGCTTTGAAACTTGGCCCTTCCGCGGCCCCACCTGCTCGACCTGCCATCGGCAGGTTGACCGCTTTCAAAAGGACCACTTTTCTAACATTGCTTTTGTTTTCTGGGAAAAAATCAAGCTTGGCAGATGGCTTAGACCATCCGATATATATATATGCGGGCCACACGGCTTGAAGTCCAGCGTCCTTTAAGGAGCGCTAGCTCCATACTGCCGGAACATTGAAACAAATGAGTTGCGCCTCCGCGCCTCAAAGAGTAAGGTCTAAACTTATGTTGGGAAAGATCGAACTTGTCACAATATTTTCGGAAGTGGCGACGAAATGCCTCAGCACTGTAAGGCCATAGGGGAACCTTATCACTCATGGATCTTTTGTGTAACGACATAGCTGTTCTCAATAACTCCACGGTTAAAAAGTCATCAACCATCACCATTTCACCAACGTTGTCACGCTGCCCAGATTTAGTATGTTGCAAACTTAAGATGGCTTTGGTGTCACCCACAAGGACATCAATGGGTCGAAGCGCTAAGATTTCTCCTGTTCGAAGAAGTGCAAAGAAACCGAGACACAACAAAGCGCCTAAAAGCACCTGATTGTGTTCAATAGCATAATTTCCCCAAGCATATAGAATATCCGCGGTCAAAGGAGGAGCTCTATCTGGTGCTTCCAACTTCTTCCAAATCTGAAAAAGTTTCCATGACATCGGAATCATACCTTTGGTCCAACCCTCATAGTGATGAAGTCCACACAAAGCATCAGATACCAAATGAAGCGCTTCCCCATCTTCCCAAGCCGTCTCAATCCAGTTACTAACCTTGTCATCCAAGTCCAGAGCTGTAAAAATACCGGTCAGTACAGGTAACAATTTTGACAGTGCATTAAAATAACGTGCCTGGGTCCTCTTGGTTATACCAGCATCCCAAAGACGAACATTCTGTCTCTGTTGTTTCCTTTCAGTTTTTGTCCGCTTAGAAACAAAGGTCCACTTGACGGCTCGCGCCATCTGTTGGATTCCTCGTGCTTTCAACGTGTCCTAAAACTAGGGTTATGCCATGCGCCAGTAGAAACGCATTCAGCTTCCGCAACACTCGAGCCACCTGTCGGCTGCCTGTACGTCCTTTGCTGGCTATAGACAGGCTGATGTAGCTATCCGTCAAGTGAAAGACCCTTTTGGATGTGGACCCCAAATGTGAAACGTGAAACTTTACCCCCAACAAAATACTCCTTAACTCCAACAGATTTATATGCTCAGGCAACTTCCATTTAACGCTGAATGAAGGCTCCCAGTTCCACCAGTCTGCTTCAACGCTTTGTCGAGGATGAGCTTTAGGATTTAATATCTCCCCTGAGGCAATACGCACGTCAGACCCTGTGTGATTAGTACGAGAAAGCAACAGTCGATTGAGGGTTTCTGCAGTAACATGTTGTTCCCACTTTTCAGGTCCATAAATCAACTTCCTACCCAGAGGACATTGCCAACGTAAGTTGCTGCGAAATCCTGGTGCCATCCCCATGCGTGTAGCAAGCCATTTGTAAGATACTCGGGGTAAAAATTCATGACAGAGCCCAACCGCTGGAATAATCAACGAGAAAATTGAAAACGAATCCCCTAACAAAGAATGTCTTTGATCATCATATGCTTGCCTGGATTGTTTGATTTCCGAAGCGCTGTAGCAAAGTGCTGTGTGCCGCCAACCATACCCCAACAATAATTCCTTTTCCTCTGCCGATGCAGTTCGCCAGGTGCCGTTGGAGGTGAAGAAAATGTATTTCCATTGGTATTGATATGGGGGATATCGGAAATCATCAGCAGAATAACGTTCAAGAGTATCTTGATCACACTTCTCAATTCCTGCAGGTCGAAATGGAGGTTTTGAGCGCTTAATTGCTTTCATTGCAGTAGGAAGGGTACTACCCCACTCATATCCAGGCCAGTTCACTCCAGGCTCCACCCATTGGTCCAGTTCAGGATAAGGTGCTGATGCCGTAATTTCCCGCCAGTGGGTTTTTTGGGTAATGGTGATCCCTTCCATAACATTCTCAAGCACCTCTGAAGTCCAGCACAAACGGGGTCGATTCATTGGCACCGCATCAACAGGATTCAGGAAATATGGTTCCCTTTGCAGCTTTTCAGAAATGGTGTCACACTCCTCTCGTTTCATAGATGCCACATTTTCCACTACGTACTTGACCACTATATGACTACCAACCTCAGCCTGGACAGTACGTTTGATTCGCACCACTTCATAAAACAGTGAAGAATTCGGCCCAGCTAACCCTTGTCCCAGGGCATTGGCCGATGACAAGTCAGTACAAGGGAAGCCAGCCCATATGTGCACCTGCTGTATGTCCAAATAACGTGCGAGAATATCTCTAAACAACTGTGGTGTGAAGTCCTTCACGTCATGATATATTTCAGCATGCGGCCATCTCCGTGACACAACTCGATTCGCGGGCTTGTGGGTGTCAAAGTGCACTAAGCCCACCGGCCTAAGACCCAAAATGTCGTAGGCCCGAAAGGAGCCACCAATCCCTCCAAAAAGTGACAACACCAGCACCGGCACCTGTGCCGATTCCTCCTGAGTGGCCAAACATGCACGTACATAGGCTTCACCAGTCGCGGACAATGATTTGGCGATACCAACTGCTCCCCCTTTTCCAGAAGCATCGGAGGCTGTCATAACAGGGCTAATTGCTGAACCAAAGTGCGCATGTAATAGAGGTACTACCAGTAAACATTGAAAAAGCTCTCTTCGCACAGCTTGCTGAATTCCCGCCGAAGTGTTTCCTTTGCCAGTAAACTCCCAGACCTTATCCAGAATAGCCATACTTGGTCTACGAAACTGCATGACATGGATCCAGAGGCCCGCTATAACCTGGATAAGTCGTTTGGACAAATGATTTTGATTGAGGATCCATAAGGTTGCTTGTATCAGGTGAAGTAGGCGTTCAGGTGATCCTCCAATGAAGTGATTGACCCCGTCAATGAACGCCCCCAACTCTTGGGCTGCTACCACATTCATTTTCCTTTTCTTCGCTGAGCTAATCACCCCTGCCATCTTCCAGGCATCCTCCGCCAAGTCATGGACTCGGCTACCAGCAACAGTCTCTTCTTCATTTCCAACCACTTGTCCCAAAGCAAAGTTGTCCAAATACACATGCCACCAAAGCCGGCTGCTCGCTTTGGCTTCCCTACAAATGCCAACCATCCATTGGGGAACTGCTTTGTTCCGAACCAGCTGGGCTACCGGATCCAACCGCCCAAATTGAAGAAGATGTTCACTTATCTCTTGCATTATTGAAACAGATGACCACCATCCCATGGGAAGAACGCAGCAGGCCAACGCATGGGCTCTATGACAATCTCCCTCTCCTACATCGAAATCCCTTATCACATTGAAAGATAAAAACTTCTTCCACGGATCCGGGACTTTGCACAGATAGAATGCATTCGACATATCAGATTGCCACATGCGTACCTCTTCACCTTCTTCCACAAAAATGGACATCCATGTTGCAATGTTGGGTAAATGTTTAACCGCTCCAGTAAACTGCCTCATTATTGAATTGCTCCCCACCAAGTTCATGATAAGTCGAAGGATTGGGCGGCCATCTTCCAAGCTAGATCCTTTCATCACCCCAAATAAACCATTCAGCACTGGAGAACCCCTGTACCGAATAACCGAATCCAGTGGAACCCATTCACAAACTCCCCTTTTAACCAGTTCATCAGCTATACCATCGATCTCACCCTTTTCAGCATGAACAATCCCTTCCAGTCGTGGTAAAGGTCTTCCATCATCCGGCAACAAAGACAACTGAGGATTAAGCAACAAATGTTTTGAGTGTTCTGAAACCCAGTCAATAGCATTAATTGAGCCGCCATGACCTACTGGTGGTAACGCTGGCAAAATCTGCGCCAGTGTCAACTTATGACAAGTTCCTACTTCCTCCCCTTTATAGTTCACCTTCTTGCTGCGCAAGTCTTTTTCAAGCTCAGAGGGCACCGGGTGATGTTCGTGGCCGTGGCAAAGCAATCGCTGTATTGCCTCTCCGACGGCATTCACTACCCGCTTCTCGGCTTTCGTCCACCCTCCTAGTTTCAAAGGGTGAGGACAGCCGTAAAGCGTATTGCAACACACCAACACGCCCAAGAGCCAGGCTTCCGCAGCATGCTTCTCAACGAAGGTAGGGCTGGAGGCCTCTTCCAGTGTAATCTCCCTCAAGACTTTCCGGAAGGACCGCAAACCACCCTCTCGGACGGGCAGAGCCACCTGCCTTGCAGTGGCCCGTTGCTGCATGCCAATATCAAAAACTGTGCCATAAAAACTGCGCCCTGAGGACTTCAAAGAAATAGCCCCGGCATTCTCTATGCTCCATGCCAGCGCACAGCCCGACTTTCTCAGATCTGTGCACTGCTGTGCTATCATCCATGGATTTCTAGGCTCAGGCCCGGGCTCAAGAGGGGACCGCTCGGCCCTAGCCAGCGCCCCCTCGGTGCCAGCCAAGCTCATGTCGTGGTGTCGCTTGGCTTCTCCTTCTTGTCCTTCCATTCGCCTCCTCCGCTTTGCCAATCCCATGAGGTTCCTTTTCCACGGCCCTTGGGTTTTCCTTTCTTTCCTTTCCCTCGATCGCCTTTGAACTCTCCTTTTCCTTCGGTCTGGGCCCACTCTGTCCGGCCTCCCTTGCCTCGGCCGCGGGGATACCAAGGGCTCGACGACGTCAGCCCCTGGGCTTTTGCGACCAGGCGGGTGTGGCGACGGGTGGCCAAGACCATGGAGGTTCCAGCCGCCGTTGTCTCGTCCATGGAATATATCTCCATGTGGCGGGCCGTCGTCCAGTTGGAGTCGATTAACGACTGATGGACTGCCATGAAACGGGCCGCTAATGCGTCGCCCGTCCTGTTCAAGTCCCCCTGCCTGAGGGTATCCATGGTCGCAGCTAAATGGTAAAGCTCCCGCAGCTCCCGTAGATGAGTGGCAAAGAGGGGCTTGAGGTGCAACATGAAGTAGGTAAGGATCTTCACTCCTGACGTCATGGAGTTGGTGTCGTCCCCCACTGACGTAGTTGCACCCTGCTCCAAGGTCTCCCGTACGTGGTTGGTCAAAAGACTCAGGACAGATCCTGGCCTCTTCAAACTCTTCTTCCTCATGGGAGCCTCGAGATCTGTGTCGCTCTCCTCCTCCTCTTTCCCACTGGAACTGGAACCTGAGGAGCTCATACTGTAACTCTCGATCGTCCCATCGGGCCGGGTCACTCTCCTCCGCTTGTGCTTCTTCTTCTCCTTCTTGTTCGAGGATGACTTGCCCCCTGAAATGATCTGCTGCAAGGCTGATGTGAGAGAGCGGATCGCCTTCTCCCCCTTGGATGCTTTCTCCTTCTTCTTCTTTCCTTGCTTCTTGGACTTCTGTCTCGCCGTCTGAACTGCTCGTTTCACCAGCTGGTCTTTCAAGCTGCCCAAACCGCTTTCTTTTGTATCCCCCTCTCGGGTTTCCCGGGTCCGACGACGGACGGGGTGTAAGTGGTGGCCATCTTCCAGTGCCTTCTGATCGCGAAGAGGATGATGAAGCGCATCGCCCACGCCCAGTTCGCCTGGTGTTTCCACAGGTTCTGAGGGCTCGTAGGGTGGCGAAACACCATCCCGTGGCTCCTCCTCGGACTCTTCCGGAGGGTCTTCCTTCCCATTGTTGCCTCCAGTAACACCAGATTGGCGGATGTTCTGCAGGCGTTGACGCAGCCGCTCCTTCATTTCCTCCGCTAGTGCAGGGCCGACGCCAGCACCGGGAGTAGCAGGCGCGGGTGCGGCCTTGCTCTCTTCTGCCCCTAGTCGAGGGTCGGGCCCAACGGCCTTGGCCTTGGGGACCTTTGAGGCACGACGAGGAGCTGCCTTCTTGGGTTGAGAACGGCCGACAACAGCGCCATGGAGAGTCTTGACCTTCTTCTTCTCGGCGGTACTCAAGTAGTCTACTACTGCCAAGAAATCGGCGCAATCCCAACCCCTGATGTGCACAGCATGCAATGTGCCTCCACTTTCTGCGCCTGGTGCGGGACAGGCATAGGATGCGCACAGATGTAAGTTGCCCTTGTCCTCTGTGAAGAGCTCCTTGATGCGCGCACCTTCTGTGGGGTCTGTTGCACCAAAGTACTGCACGACCAACGTCAGCGTACCGTCTTCTTCCAGTTGCGACCCCGAAACCATGAAAGCCCCCCAATCTTCGCCATAGGTTCCTAGGCTTGAGGTTTGGAGGGCGACTTCTATTATCTGCCCCGGCTCTATACGCAAGCTTTTCCAATCGGCCTCCTCTGCAAGGAAATACTCTTTTCCTGATGTGAAAGTCGCCATTGTTTAAAGAATAGGGTGATGTAAATAATCCACACCTTGACTGCTGCTTCCCAACTCCAGAAAGCCCTTGTCTGCCTTCCGGTGAACAGGCAGGAAGGGATCGGTTGCTAAACGCCCAAGCCGTTGGTGTTTGCTTCCGGCGCGATGCTTCCTCTTCCTCCCTGAACGTGTTCGATCGCGATCTCGTTGTGGTGACCGTTGGTCTCGATGAGATCTCCTGGGTTCTGCGGCGCGGCGGCTGCCAGCCTCAGAGTCCCGGTGCCCTGACCTGAAAGTCCCTGGTGGAGGTCCTTCTGGCTCAGGAGGTGGATCTCGACGATCGGGCCGTCTGTTATGCCCTGAAGTATGCGGCGAGTCGTCCACCCGCTCTTCTTCCTCCTCGGACTCTTCCTCCTCGTCCTCTTCTTCCTTAGGCTCAGTAGGAGGTGCCACACTGGAACGCCGCCTGGGCAAGGAGTCCCTATCAACGCGCTCCGGCTCTCGGGGCACACTCGGGGGCCGAGGCAAATGTGCCTTCCTGCCCTGTGACGAAGCCCGGCCACCGCCAGCTTCACCCCCGGGTGCACGGCTTAGGCCAGCACCCAGGCTCCTGAGTGCCCGTACTTGCCTGGCGCAGTTGATCACCAGGTCCGAGGCCAAGGCGCGACAGCCAGCCTGGTCCCAGAAGCCGCAGAGCTCACGCCCAATGGCTTCCCAGGCTGTACAACCTGAGCACCAAGTATCGCCGGTGGCTGGTTGAACCTGCTTGCACCGATTGCAGGTGCCACCTGGGGGCATCTACTTAACTGAAGTTCTTTGAACCACAATGCCACCAAAAAATGGTTTCATTCCACCTCAGCCCAAAATTCTAGAAGAATACCTTTGATTCTTTTTGGGTGTTACTATCCAATGGCTTTTGAACTTGTTTTATCCAATCAAATTCTGACATATTCTGACGACCCTGAGCAAACCACCTCTAAAGGGGCAGCTTCGTCGCGTGGCCGCTCTTCTGGAAGGCAGTGCAACCTCACCTGTCCCATGATCATCTGCCGGTTATTACTAGGGTTGATGAGCTGAGATCAGATCTCAAACTTTTCTTCAATGGAGAAATTGAAGAGCCCAAAATAAGGATATGAATGCCATTTGAACGGATCCTAGTGGGACATGCTACGTTGAGAGAACAAACACAACCAAACAGGGATAGAGAAATTAGATACAATTGGAACATTATTCAACACTAAGCCGGGGTAATATCCAGTGATCCAGCCAGTGATCCTGCGGAATGACTGGAGCCCCTCCAATCAACACGCCGCCTCCTCTGTGAAGTGTGTCCACTGCGGCACCGTGGCAGGCCACTGGCCGTTGCGGAGGGTCTCGGCCAAGTGCTTGGACACTGTGTGCACGGCGTTCTTGCTGGGCCTGTCTGATACTGATGCAGGTCCGCTTCCCAAATCCCTGCATTAAATGGAGTTTTCAATGGGAAAATCATCCATAAATGGAATATAAAACTCACTTAGGATGACTTTTTCACTCACTTAGGACGACATTTTTTGATGTTGACTTCAGGGTTAACACCATGGGATACAGACCTTTAGGTTAACACTTGGGGGTACTTGGGGTGGGTTTTAAAGGATACTTGGGGACACTTGGGCTGGGTTTAGGGGACACTTGGGGACACGGGGCTGGGACATGGGGTGGGTTTAGGGAACCAACCCCATGGGATACAGACCTTTAGGTTAACACTTGGGGACACTTGGGGTGGGTTTAGGGGACACTTGGGGACACTTGGGGTGGGTTTAGGGGACATTTGGGGACACTTGGGGTTTAGGGGACACTTGGGGACACGGGGCTGGGACATGGGGAGGGTTTAGGGAACCAACTCCATGGGATACTGACCGGGACACTTGGGGTGAGTTTAAAGGACACTTGGGGACACTTGGGGTGGGTTTAGGGGACACTTGGGGACGGGGACGCTTGGGGTGGGTTTAGGGGGCACTTGGGGTTTGGGAAATGGGGTGGGTTTAGGGACGTTCCTGATACGTTGACACATCTTCTTCAAGTAACTTGAATGATGTTCCTTTTATGTTGTAACATCTTCGTCAAGTAACATTCAAGAAGTTCCTGATACTTGCAGCATCTTCCTACTTGTAAGTAACTTGCACGACCTTCCTGATACGTTGTAAACTCTTCTTCAACTAACTTGCCAGATGTTGCTGATACGCTGTAACATCTTCTTCTAGTGACTTGCAACACGTTCCTGGTACGTTGTTAAATCTTCTGCAAGTAACTTGCAAGACGTTCCTGGCACGTTGTCACATCTTCTTCAAGTAACTTGAATGATGTTCCTTATATGTTGTAACATCTTCGTCAAGTAACATGCAAGACGTTCCTGGTATTTGCAGCATCTTCCTACTTGTAAGTAACTTGCACGACCTTCCTGATACGTTGTAAACTTTTCTTCAAGTAACTTGCCAGATGATACGTTGTAACATCTTCTTCAAGTGACTTGCAACACGTTCCTGATACTAGTACGTTGTGAAATCTTCTGCAAGTAACTTGCAAGACGTTCCTGGCACGTTGTCACAGCTTCTTCAAGAACCTTGAATGATGTTCCTGGTATGTTGTAACATCTTCGTCCAGTAACATGCAAGACGTTCCTAATACGTTGTATTATATTCCTCAAGTAACTTGCAAAATGTTCCCGATACGTTCTAAAGTCTCCGTCAAGGCACTTGAAATACAGTCCTGATACGTTGTAACATCTTCTTATTCATATGATTGAATGAACATGTCCTGATGATCATCTCTGTCACACATGTACAAGCCTGTTGAAGTCATGTTCAAATACATCTATATATGTTTCTATTGATGCTGTAGTCATATATCACAAACGTAGTCCTAAGCGAGAAAAAACGTAGGCCTAAACGAGGGACTGACCTGTTACATTGCCATGTTCGATTACCAGAGGTTATCTGTTGCAATGTGAAGAATATTGAATGTTTAAACATAACAATTAACCACTGAAGAATGTTTGAAAAGCAGCAATGGCTAACAACTTGGAGATGGCTGAGATGGCCAAAGTGTTTGCACAGTCTGCCTATCTCTGCCTACCCATTTGGACCAGTTCTTTAAAATTCTTTGGATGCTCTGCCTCCTCTGCCTCCTCAGCTACAGTCACTACACTGAGGTCCCAAGTGCATCCTCCTGGCCAACCCGAGGCTGCGACTTGGGATGGACAGGAGGCATATCTTCCAGGACCCTCCTGCGACCACAGTAATCGCATGCGATGGCAGGTGTACCGTATGCGAAACACCAATGTGCACTGTAAAAAACACATGCAAATGGATACATGCGAATAATGGATCTCGTAATGTTTGATGCTTTTTTGGGGGTGGATGGGTGTTCCGTAACTAAAAGGGTCACAACCATCTGGGTCAGTAACCACACATAACTCATAAACACATCGAAACACATGTAATTGAATATCATTGTGCATCACACCTACCGCTGACATGAGTAATTACTGTAGGTATGGCCAGGTTTGACGCGTGGCGCGTCCTGATGAGCATGTGCATCACATTGCTTGTGTGCTCCACATCACTCATGGCAAGCAAGTCCTGGAGAAACATGGAGAAACTGTAGACCATTGCAAGGTTCAACTTACGATAGTTTAAGGCATCCCTTCCAAGTTCACGAAAAAAAAAATCCTTCAAGCCACCCTTCCAAGCAATAAGTGAGGTGAGATTAAGTGGAAAGTTTCTATCAGCTTTCCACAGGTGTCTCAACCCATCTTGATCCACACAAACACATAACGCACACACACACATGTATATATATAAGATACACAATATACTACACAATATATAGAATACAATGTATATAACATAATATAATATAGTATGTACAATATAGTATATATACAATATATATATAATTATATATATATATATTACACCTAGCACCATCTAGCGTCCCAGCATATCCCAGCCGTGCCCAGCCTGGAAGGCATCTCCGGCCTCACGTTCTTTCTTCACCCAAGGCTCCTCAGGCAACTTCTCCAAGAGCGTCAGCAGATCGGGCAAAGGATGGGACTCGTGGACCTTGGCCATGGCGGTATATGGCGGTATGAGGGCGTCATGGCTACTAGATTAAATGCACACTAAATCATCTGGGAGGAATGACATGAATGACATGTTCATTTCTGCATTTGGAATCATGTCACCACTTTGGTTTCATGAAACTTGTAATTCCGCATCCAAGTTGCTGGTAAATGAAAACCAGGGTCCAAATTGGCTGGTAACATTTTTCATTTCTGACTGGTTATCACTGTTGTCCAGCCAGTTTCTTCAACGCTTGGAACTGTGAAGGAAGGAAGTCTCCAGACAAACACCGCATACAAACACCCTGATTCTCCAAACCACGAAAGCCGCAATGTGATTCTCCTTGGCATTGAAGCCGCCAGACTGCAACCTGAAGCAGCGCCGGACGGCAGTATCAAAGAAGCTCCTTTGGCGCTCTCTCTCTCTCTCTCTGCCTGTGTCTGAGCAGCAGTGAAGTAAATATCTTCAAAACAGGTGGCACACCAACTATGGCTACACAAACAACAGCGATACACCAAGAATCACAACTAGCACCACCACCAGCCCTGCAGTAGTTTGTTAATTCCCTTGGTAGGAATCGTGAGTGGTTGGCTGAGTCACTCATACTTACAATATCTTACAATAATTGTGCCTAAAGGTCAGCAACATTGCACCAGTGGGGGGCTAACCATTGCCTTGGTCATTCAATCAACCGCAAACGCGATTCCCAAGGTGGTCATTCACACAGAAGTTGCTTCCAAGGGACAAGAACTTCACGAAATTTGTTGTCATTTGGTGGCCTCAAACCACGACCATGACCACGACCACCACCACCACCACCACCACCACGACCACCACCACCACGACCACGACCACGACGACCACGACGACCAGCACGACCACGATGACCAGCACGACCAGCAGCACCAGCACGACCAGCAGCACCAGCACCACCACAGTAGTGGCTCACATATCTCACATTATATACAACACACAAGGATCGCCACTCGTTCATGAGTTTCACTGTCAACCTTACCGAATATTTCCCGAATAAACTAAATTATCATCTGAATGGGGCTATATAATTATATAATATATAGTCCTCTTGGGACCACTGACTAGAACAGCCACAACATACAGTATGTCTGCTTACATGAAATATGGACGCTTCTGGAGCAGCATGACCAGCACCCAGCCCAAGGGCAAACTTTGCACCGAGAGGCAAAGCATGGCGCGTTCGCGGCCGCGTTTTGTCAGAGTGGGCTTGTCTGGCTCCACAAGGCCTGGAACAGCTGATGGTGTAAGCGTGCCCTGAAGCACGGTTTCTGCGCATGACATGTTCGAGTCCGTTCTTGATCGGCCCATGGAAACTTTATTGCGAAATATTGCGAACATGGAGGAACGGGACAACTTCCGCACTTCTGGAACATTTCCATATACAGTATTTCCATCTCAATTCCGTTACGCTTCCTTGCATGCGCGAGTCCAAGGTCCTGGCATGGTAGCCTATTGAGGAGTCACAAGCATCAACACGTAGAGATACGAGTACATAGAGTAAATCTAAAAGTCGCCACAAGTAGGAAACTTGCAAGACGTACCAGCACCCACATTTGCACAATCTTGTGCTAGGATCTGAAACCAGCGGCCGCCCCCAACGGCACGTGTCTCAATCATCTTCTGTCTCATCTCGCTCAATGTGCCTGGGTGGGACCAAAAAAGCGCGTGGATGAGCCAATAGCACCAATTAGTCAAATAAGTTCCCGCAACAAAATGTAGATTGTTCAACATCCTAATTTCTCAAGCAGCAGTAGCCACCTGAGCCCCATCAACTTCTTAAATGGTGCCCCTTTGGCCCTTCCTGGGGAAAGCATGAGGGACATCCCAAACTACCAGTGCCACTGAAAAGGAACACAGTGTTGGAGGGAAACAAATGCCTTTAAAACCATGCATGGATCAGTGCCCAGGTGCCCACATCTTGCAACAGCTCCGATGGGAGGGAAGGCTGTGCAAAGGACGAACTCAAATCCTCGCTGCTGTGCTACGGTGGACACGCAAACAAATGCCGCCGGACAAATGCTGTAAAACAAACATTGGAAGTGATGGAGCGCGGGCTGGGTTTTCAACCCTATCGCAACTCATCATAACTCATCACTTTTCAATTTCACCTCCTGTGCAATGTCCCGGGCTTGGTTTGCAAGGAATTTGCTTTGGCTGGCAGTGAAATTGGAGGTTAGACGGTTGAGGTTAGATTCACAAAGCAACAAATTGTTAGCTGCTCGCTGCGCCACCTTCGCGACGCGTCTTGTGAAGCGTTCCATCTCCCTTTGGTCCTGAAGGCCATGGCATGAACCCCGCAGTTTCCCTTAGAATCGAATGATGTAACCCCACCTTAATAATCAAAATCATCATATCATATAATCATATATCATATATACTAACGAAAATTCATGTTCACATCTATTTCGATAGATAACTTGTGTATTTTTTTCATCACACTGCTCTGGAACCAAACTGTATGTGTTGGTGAGTATTGGCTCTGGGTCACATGATGTCATATGATCATAATAGGGGAATGGGCTGCTGAACCTGAACCTTCAAAAATCAACTCCGGGTTTTCAGACTGGTTTCATGGCCACACCAAAGTTTCCCGCAGGTAACGGACCTCCTTGACCAGGATTTTTTTGAAACCAGCCTTGGCAAATCAGGATTGAAAATTGCCCTATTTTAACCTGAACGGTTCTCAAATGAACATATGCACTTAGTTGCTGTGGTGGCAAATGTTTTTTGTGGATGCCTGATGCCAAGGTGGACGTTCAAACCACCAAAACTGATAAAGTAACAGAACAGGCAAACTCCAGCTTTTGCCCGTGCCGACGTCCACTACGTGTCCGAACATCAAAAAACACTATGTTTTGTGGGGCAGAATGCACATGTCCATGATCATGGCGTTGAATGTTACACCACCGCCACCACCACCACCGCCGCCGCAGCCATCGTCGTCGTCATCATCATCATCATCATCATCATAATCATCACCACCACCATCATTGTCAGCTTCATCATTATCATCATTATTATCATCACCATCATCGTAACTCCTTTTGCTATCATCACCATCATTGCTATTGTTTCTGTTATTATCACCATCGATTTTATTATTATATATATATATATATTGCTACTGTCACCATCATTGCTACTGTTGTTATCATCATCCTCACCATCACCATCACCATCACCACCATCATCATCATCATCATCATCATCAGCATCATCATCAACATCGTCATCAGCATCATCATAATCATCTTCCTTATCCTTGTTGTATAGCATTATTGTTATTGTATACTATTGTTATTGTCAACATGTGCTATCCCAACAAAGCCTGATTTCCTCCCCCTTTCCAGCGCCCCGGTGCCTCAGTCAGTTCCGCTGTGTCTCCGGTGACCTCCGCTGTGGGCTCCAGCTCCAAGTCATCGCCCGGACCCAATTTGTGCGCCTTCGACTTGGCTCCCGGTGAAAAATGACTGTTTTCTGTGGGAAAATCTCGGGCATATTGGATCTCATGGGGTTGATGGGGATATTATGACGATTGATTCAGGGGAAGTTTGACAGGAAACCATAGGGAATATTAGGGAATCATGGTTTTCCCTAACAAACATGTTCCCTTCAACCAATACTGGTGAGATTTCAAACCAGACATATCCAAGCTTTCAATACGTGGGAGATGTTACTTCCATTCGTTTGCTGGCTATTTTGATCAATTTTGGGCTACCCATGCCTATATACTCTGTGTACATTTTGCCCTCCTCAGAGTTGACAATCCTTGGCTTGATACAGTACCTAAGCAACAGGATACTGAAGTGGTATCACTTAGTGGCAAATCATGGTAACCCACACACACACATACACACACACACATTCATCTATTTTTTTTTGCCAAAGCCTCCAGCTTGGTCATCGCTAAAGGTCGTAGGCACTAACTAGCTTTGAATTAAAAGATATACACTCCTAAGGCCACGCTCACTTGTGAAAGTATAGAGAACAAGTTTCCGATTATTGCTAAGAGCCTTCACATTGATGATATTTCACATTGAGAGTAGTTCACACTGAGAGTGTCTCACACTGGAGAGCTTCACATTGAGAATAGTTCACACTGAGAGTCATTCACACTGAGTTTGAGCTGTGTAGTCTTCAACCGTTTCCTTTGTGAAAAGGGGGCTGGTAAAGATGGGCTTGTTCGATGATTCGTTCCCGTATTTCTCTGTTATATCTGTCGAATGGGATTTGGGGTGCCGATGGGTCAGTGTTTCTTATCACTTCCCATGCTTTTTGCATATTGTTACTGGTCCAAAACTGTCTGGGTCTTCCGACTCTTCGCATTTCAGTTTCTCTCGGGAGAGCGGATGTTGTTGAAAAAGTTGCTTGGTGAAGAGGGTGGTTTCTGTCTCTCCTGAGGATGTGTCCGAGTAATTTGAGTTTTCTTTCCTCCAAAATTTCGGTCAGAGGTTTGATTTTTCGATCGAAACCTGTAGTCGGCGCGTTAAGGGTTTCATTTGCCCTTCGGTATGCGTATTCATTGGTGTTGTGGCGTTGTATGTATGTTAACGTGTAATTTCAGAATCTTTCGTAAGCCTTTGAGCTGGAACGTATTGAGAAGATGTCCAGCTGACTCAGTTGGTTCCAAGGTTTCTAGGCCGTAGAGAACTTTGCTAGTAATTACAGCATTGAAAACGCGCAGTTTCCAAGATCTGTTGCATTGCGCTTTTCCCCAGAAAATGACCAATTTTTTTAAAATGGCCATCGTAGCTGAGATTCGTCGTCTTATTTCATGTTTGGGATTGATCGTTCGAGTGATAGAAGCTCCTAAGTAAGTAGATTCATCGGTCGACTTCATAGGATCCCCATTTTGGAAAGTGATAGAACCGCGACAGTTGAAAGCAATGTAGCAACATTTTGACTTGTTTAGATTGAGGTCCAGATATTGAGATTCTTCTTCGATAAGGTGCAAGTATTGGTTAGCACTGGCAAAGCTTTTGGTCAGAATTAATGTGTCATCTGCGTACAGCAATTCGTGGAAATTAATTCCTTGGAAAGTTTTTGCGTGGCGTGGGTCGTTGAACCTGCGGTGAACATCATGAAATAGCACGTGCATTGTCACAATGAATAGGTATGGGCTGAGGGGACAGCCTTGCCTGATTCCAGTACGTTGGCTCAACCATGACGAAAATTTATCTCGGTGCATCACTTGAAACATCGGTTTCTGGTAAATAGCTTTTATGGCATCAAGGATTATATATATATATGCTCACCCCCCTTCGAACCTACCAAAACTTCATATCCACTGGTATTTATGTGGAAAAATAACTTTTTCCAACCTGTCAAAAAGCGCAGTGGCCAGTGAACATTGCAGCATTCCTTGAAACAGAAAAAGGATGTTGTTAAAGGAAAATGCTGCTTGCAGGTTGCAATCTATCTTGAAGACAAAATGTTTCTTTAACAAGGAGCCACATTCTTGCAAGACAAATGTGCGGAAATATGCAATATACCCTTTGATGAAGTTTAGCCATCCTCTCAGCTTTTTCTGCATGACATTTTTTTAACAAAGCAATTTTCAAAATTAAACAATTGCCTTGAAACAATATATTCCCTTGAAAATCTTGAATAAGAAGCAGCATTCTTGCAAAACATATATACAGACATTGACATATATCTATATATATGGCTCATATATACATACATACATACAAGTGTAGCAATATGCAATATGTCCTTTTTTATCCTTTTTTGAAATTCAGCCTCCTTCTCATTTTTATTCTGCGCAAAAATTGCTTTAAACGATTTCACTCCTGCAAAATACATTTGCCCGGTTTGTTCCAGTATTTCACTTATATATCGAATGACATATTATCATATTGACATATTGCATACATAACTATAAATATACATTATTATGCATTTATAACCTGGTTCTTTAAAAGTACATGCAGCAAAGATATGGGATCTCACAGCAAAGGGTTATATTTCATAGTATTGCTTCTTTGCATTGTTACATCAAATAATGAGAATTTCTCTAAATAATTCACTCCTTCGTGATGGAAGCTCTGCACATACGTGCGCCAACACTTTCTTGAAGAAACACCATAATCATTGAAAATGGATACTCAAAGGATTCCATTCTGAAATAATGCTGTCCTCCTTCGATAAATTCCTTTACCTCCTTAAAAGAACTTGGCACAGGCCATAAATCTGTTTGAAAGTAATTTTATATTCCTGGCAAAGAAATGCAGTCTTTAAGATACTGTACAGAATGGTGCCACTTGATGCAAGGAATGTCATGTCATTTGAAAAATACTGCTGCACAAGGCATACATAGGAGGATTTGGCTTTGAAAACAGACTTCAAAGCGATGCAGAGGTTTGAGAATGCTAGGAGAGATGCAGAATTGTTGGGTTTTGTTGTTGGAGAGTCTGCAAGGCCGAACCGGAAAAACAACTATCAGGGCCCATTTTTTTTAAATCTGAGGCACCCAAGCTGTGATAGATTCCATGGGTGCCGCTTCCATCTGGTTCGTGCCTCGTACATCGCCTTGTTCTCCGTCCGCAAGTCCTAGCGATGTTGCCATCGGCAAATCGGAAGCATGTTGCGAACATTTACAGTTTGATACAGTTTGCAATAGGCCCGTCCTCCAACATTAGAACCTCAGGTGAGAAGGCAAGTTCTTGGTGGGACCTACCGTGATCTACACACTGATCATACTGCACTTCAGATCTTCAAAATCTTTTGTATAGCCACCTGAATAGTCCAGTAGAGATGACAATCTCTCTGGATGCTTTCAAGACTGGCCACCAGGTGGCTTGGAGATGCTTGGAGCTTGGGGGATTTCCATTTCCACCTGGGAAATCTATGGAGGAAACGCTCAGCTGAGGCGCCCAATCCTTCTGCTGACTTTTGGCATGTGCCGGCCAATCAAAACCAAACCATGACAAGGGCGGCAGGATCTCGCAATAGTCATCGCCTCTGCTGATGCTACAGCGTAGGGCTCTCTGGAGAATCTCTATTTCAATGATTTTCAATGTGCACACAACCCAATTCCATGCATCAATAGGAAATTTGGTTCAAACATATGAACATCTACGGAAAGGATGGGCAAGCTACGTCTCTATTCCACCAATAGTGCACCTGCCCTGACTGTCTGCGATGGCCTCGAAAGCGAACGGCCAATGTCCTGGAATCAGACCAATTTTCCACTCGATATGGCGCTGGTTCATCCTCAGGCCGGCAGGCGCTGCATGGCGCTGCCATAACTGCAAACCATGCAATCCTTGTCCCAAATGGACCCAAATTTCAAATGGACCCCAACATGTCCCAACCAATTCTTGAATTTTATGAGGCGCCATCCCAACCATCGACAAGGGCTGCACCAGTAAAAGTGCCCACACACCTCCACTCCAAAGGCAAGCTTCACTGAGGATCATAAACGCGGTGCTATTTCTCACCTGACAAATGGATACAAATGGTGCAGCAGAGGATGGGTTCAGAAAGCATGGCTTTTTGCTTGGAGATTGGTGCGGCCATCAGTTGTGACCCAAAGCGAATAGGTTACAGTTGTAGATGTGATTATGTCTTCGAACTTGGGATGCTTCTAGTCTTCTAGTCATGCAAGTGCCAATTTGCTTGCAGTTGGTCCAAGTCCGTTGGCCGGGAAAACTGCGAATCCAAATATGCTGGCAACCCAACGCCTTCAGGTCTTCATTGTTTCATCTTTTTTTGAGAATCATGCCGGGAAGCTCACGCTTTTTCATGCTTTTTCCTTAGTTTTCCCAGCCCCTAACCATCTTTAATCCCAAACAGTTGGATTTTAAGAAACCACCTGGTACCACATGGATCATCTGCAGGATCCCTGGGCCTGCACGGACAAGCGCATGAAGTAAATGCCACCTGCAGTGCCGCTGGAGAGGGCCACCACCTCTTCATGGGTGTTGTTCAGTCCAAACCAACCTGAGGCGAGGCCTGGAAGAGACCGCGAACCAATGGAGGGAACCAATGGGTAATTTCCCATGGGATTTCACTAACATGGGGCATGAGTCATCATGGGATATCATATTGGGATATAAGAAACAGTATGGCTCAGTATGGTATACATGGCGCACATGATGCCCTGAAATCCCAGGCATGACCCAAATTTGGGACCCAGACGCACCTGGATGACCTCGTCAAAAACTTCTGAATTCCAAATCAAATGTGTGTATCAAATGGCTAAATATAGGATATAGGATGACAACTCGTGGACATTTGTGGGCTTTGGATGATTGGGTGGACGTCTTATCAATTTTGTTATTTGCTCATTTTTGATCCACGCGTATTATATTTCACCACATCTTAAAAACTTAAAAACTTAAAACCACCTCTTCGCAGCACGTGATGATACCCGGATGCCATTCTTCCAGTGCTTGCCAACTGGATCCAACTGGCCTTTCCAGGGCAAACCCTTCCCCATGTGCAGGTCGTAGTCATTGTCAGTGCCTCAGATGTTAGAAGTGGTTGTGACTTGCAGTTGGTTCACGCCACCCATTTCTCAGTCCTGGTCGGCTTATCAACCCATGTGCAGATCAACACTGTGTGGTGCCAAGTTTTTTTCCCTCTGCCCTTGGTGTACGTCTGTCGCCATTGGCTTGGCTTGCACGTTTGTGCACAGATCAAAAGCATTGAAAAGCCGTGCCTGCTGCTCATTGGTCAAGGTCAAAGCCTTCCACGCTGTTTTCAACCTTAAACACGCCTTGCATGGAATTATCTTGATTTGATCTTGAATCTTGATAGCTTGGGTAAAGTTTACGTTGGGCTCATGAAAAGATCTGAAAAGAATTGAAAAGGGCCATGGAAGGACCAAGCGTCTGAGCCAAACAGACACCTATAGTTGCTATAGATCGCATTCTGCGACCCAGCTCAGGTCGCCCTTCCAACGCGCTGCCAGCATTGCAGCTGATGTGAGCAGCTCAACATCATTTCACCAAAGGGGCCAATTGACAAAAACATACAAAAACTGGAGCTTTTGGAAAGGACAACTTGATTTTTAAGCTGAGCATTGCATTCAATTTTCCGCGCGCGGCTTTAGGTGGACTTGCAGTGAGAGTTGACACAGCTGTGCACAAAAACACCCATTGCAAGAATGAATGCCATAAATAGTAATTTATACATATGATAATTACATATAATTACTATCTGTACATTGAGCTACTTGAGGTTGTATGATGTTGTATGAATGAAATCATGTTTCATTGCCTAGGGTTGTCACAGAGGTGCCTGGGGTTGGATTACACAACACACCATCAAGATCTGACTAAACTTCGAGACATATCTAATCTGCCCATGCCCAGATAGAAATGATTAGACAATATTAGAAGTGCAAACCCAGGTAACCATGGAACCTTATGGATGCATATTGCATTGATCTTTGAGCTTCAACTTGCATGCCTGCAATCCACCAGGGCAGCGGATACAAACACAAAATCCAAGGCGAACTTGGTCTCCAACAAACAAGCTTCGAAGGAGTAATGCAAGGTGCATGGGCACAGGGCGCGGTTCCATCACGGATAGCATCCCCCATGAAAATATCCACAGTGAGGTTCAATCTGTTGCTACTTGCCTCCAAAACCTTCCAAAATGCGAGAAACAAGCAGGTATTCCCTTGGAGGATGGACAACTTTACAAAACCCAGTAAACCCAGTTCCAGCAAATTTGGCAGCGGAATTCAGTCCTGGAGCTTTACTGCAACCAAGAGCTTTCAGCTGCCATCTGGTTTGCCAATTAAAGGAAAATGATCTATTGCAAGCGGGCATTTTCTGCCAGCTGCTTGATTTGGTAATCAAACCATTGTCCTGCTTCAGGGGCTCTTGGTTCACCATCCCGGCTTCCAATGCTGTCAGCAGAGGCACAATCTGAATCGAAACGTGGGCATGAGGAATCATCTGGCAGCACTTGAGTACAACCATCTGACTCACCGGGAGTCTTCAACCAGAAGTAGGCATCAACGACATCTGGATTGGCCGTAGCTGTTGTTGCCACATGACCCACCCCAGCATCACGGATGTTGCACCAGTTCTTGCATTGGCTCCTCATTCCGGCAGCACCGTTGCGGCCTGTGTCAATGATCATGTGTGGGTCAAAGTCTTTGATGCCCTCTGACATGGCCTTGCGCAAATGAAGGGCATAGTTGAGCTCGTTGTTGGAGGGGTTCCATTGACCAATGAGGCCGCAGGGGTCAGCACAGCATGGATGATCATTGTTGTTTCCACCAAGGCAGAAGTCATAGGTGTCACAAATCTCCCCCACATGCTGGTAGCCAGCCACGTTGGATGCAAAGCCACGAATGTGAGAGGACACCTGCAGGCTCTTGATGGTCTTCACAAAGTCTTTCATGTTGTCCTTCCAACCCAACCAGCCACCATGACCAGCATCCAAGTATATGGCAGCATAGGGGTCAGCACTTGCCAATGCCTTCACCGCATAGCTGACACCTTCCTCATATGCACTCTTGGTAGCCGAATTGCCACATCTTGGGTCACCCTGATTGGTGGACAGGTTGGGCAAGGAGTCAGGTTCGATCACAAGCACCACTGGAACACGGCCAGAGTATTTGCGGAGAACCTCCGCAATCTGGTCGATGTATTCCTCTTCGTACTCTTTCAGCCCTGCACTGCAGAACTTGTCAGAAACATCAGTGTAGTCACATCGGCCATCAGACTTGTAGCTGCAGCAAATCTCTCCATTGGATGCTTTTGCATGGCAATCGCGGTTAGGCAAGTCGTAGACAATGAAGAGGACCAACTCTGGAACGGGCTTGTTGGCTGCATCTTCCAAGATGCCTTCCATGGTGTTGGTGCTGCTACCTTTGATCTTCATCTTGTTGTCCAACCAATATGCTGATGGGATGTCTCTCATTGATTCCAGCGTGTCTTTGATCTTGCCACTGGCTGAACTGATGCTGCTGTCCAGCGAAGTCTTGTAGCTGGGATTCACGTAGAAGACCTTGTCAGCGAAAGGGTTGCCAGATGGAATTACAACAGTGGTGCCTGCAATCTCCGTGGTTGATGCTTCCTCAGTGGTTGAAATCACCTGAGTCACGGAGACAGTGCTTGATGCTGTCACCACGGTTGTTCCCGAAGGCATCCCAAGCTGTGCATTTTCTGCCAGCTGCTTGATTTGGTAATCAAACCATTGTCCTGCTTCAGGGGCTCTTGGTTCACCATCCCGGCTTCCAATGCTGTCAGCAGAGGCACAATCTGAATCGAAACGTGGGCATGAGGAATCATCTGGCAGCACTTGAGTACAACCATCTGACTCACCAGGAGTCTTCAACCAGAAGTAGGCATCAACGACATCTGGATTGGCCGTAGCTGTTGTTGCCACATGACCCACGCCAGCATCACGGATGTTGCACCAGTTCTTGCATTGGCTCCTCATTCCGGCAGCACCGTTGCGGCCTGTGTCAATGATCATGTGTGGGTCAAAGTCTTTGATGCCCTCTGACATGGCCTTGCGCAAATGAAGGGCATAGTTGAGCTCGTTGTTGGAGGGGTTCCATTGACCAATGAGGCCGCAAGGGTCAGCACAGCATGGATGATCATTGTTGTTTCCACCAAGGCAGAAGTCATAGGTGTCACAAATCTCCCCCACATGCTGGTAGCCAGCCACGTTGGATGCAAAGCCACGAATGTGAGAGGACACCTGCAGGCTCTTGATGGTCTTCACAAAGTCTTTCATGTTGTCCTTCCAACCCAACCAGCCACCATGACCAGCATCCAAGTAGATGGCAGCATAGGGGTCAGCACTTGCCAATGCCTTCACGGCATAGCTGACACCTTCCTCATATGCACTCTTGGTAGCCGAATTGCCACATCTTGGGTCACCCTGATTGGTGGACAGGTTGGGCAAGGAGTCAGGTTCGATCACAAGCACCACTGGAACACGGCCAGAGTATTTGCGGAGAACCTCCGCAATCTGGTCGATGTATTCCTCTTCGTACTCTTTCAGCCCTGCACTGCAGAACTTGTCAGAAACATCAGTGTAGTCACATCGGCCATCAGACTTGTAGCTGCAGCAAATCTCTCCATTGGATGCTTTTGCATGGCAATCGCGGTTAGGCAAGTCGTAGACAATGAAGAGGACCAACTCTGGAACGGGCTTGTTGGCTGCATCTTCCAAGATGCCTTCCATGGTGTTGGTGCTGCTACCTTTGATCTTCATCTTGTTGTCCAACCAATATGCTGATGGGATGTCTCTCATTGATTCCAGCGTGTCTTTGATCTTGCCACTGGCTGAACTGATGCTGCTGTCCAGCGAAGTCTTGTAGCTGGGATTCACGTAGAAGACCTTGTCAGCGAAAGGGTTGCCAGATCGAATTGCCACAGTGGTGCCTGCAATCTCCGTGGTTGATGCTTCCTCAGTGGTTGAAATCACCTGAGTCACGGAGACAGTGCTTGATGCTGTCACCACGGTTGTTCCCGAAGGCATCCCAAGCTGTGCATTTTCTGCCAGCTGCTTGATTTGGTAATCAAACCATTGTCCTGCTTCAGGGGCTCTTGGTTCACCATCCCGGCTTCCAATGCTGTCAGCAGAGGCACAATCTGAATCGAAACGTGGGCATGAGGAATCATCTGGCAGCACTTGAGTACAACCATCTGACTCACCAGGAGTCTTCAACCAGAAGTAGGCATCAACGACATCTGGATTGGCCGTAGCTGTTGTTGCCACATGACCCACGCCAGCATCACGGATGTTGCACCAGTTCTTGCATTGGCTCCTCATTCCGGCAGCACCGTTGCGGCCTGTGTCAATGATCATGTGTGGGTCAAAGTCTTTGATGCCCTCTGACATGGCCTTGCGCAAATGAAGGGCATAGTTGAGCTCGTTGTTGGAGGGGTTCCATTGACCAATGAGGCCGCAGGGGTCAGCACAGCATGGATGATCATTGTTGTTTCCACCAAGGCAGAAGTCATAGGTGTCACAAATCTCCCCCACATGCTGGTAGCCAGCCACGTTGGATGCAAAGCCACGAATGTGAGAGGACACCTGCAGGCTCTTGATGGTCTTCACAAAGTCTTTCATGTTGTCCTTCCAACCCAACCAGCCACCATGACCAGCATCCAAGTAGATGGCAGCATAGGGGTCAGCACTTGCCAATGCCTTCACGGCATAGCTGACACCTTCCTCATATGCACTCTTGGTAGCCGAATTGCCACATCTTGGGTCACCCTGATTGGTGGACAGGTTGGGCAAGGAGTCAGGTTCGATCACAAGCACCACTGGAACACGGCCAGAGTATTTGCGGAGAACCTCCGCAATCTGGTCGATGTATTCCTCTTCGTACTCTTTCAGCCCTGCACTGCAGAACTTGTCAGAAACATCAGTGTAGTCACATCGGCCATCAGACTTGTAGCTGCAGCAAATCTCTCCATTGGATGCTTTTGCATGGCAATCGCGGTTAGGCAAGTCGTAGACAATGAAGAGGACCAACTCTGGAACGGGCTTGTTGGCTGCATCTTCCAAGATGCCTTCCATGGTGTTGGTGCTGCTACCTTTGATCTTCATCTTGTTGTCCAACCAATATGCTGATGGGATGTCTCTCATTGATTCCAGCGTGTCTTTGATCTTGCCACTGGCTGAACTGATGCTGCTGTCCAGCGAAGTCTTGTAGCTGGGATTCACGTAGAAGACCTTGTCAGCGAAAGGGTTGCCAGATCGAATTGCCACAGTGGTGCCTGCAATCTCCGTGGTTGATGCTTCCTCAGTGGTTGAAATCACCTGAGTCACGGAGACAGTGCTTGATGCTGTCACCACGGTTGTTCCCGAAGGCATCCCAAGCTGTGCATTTTCTGCCAGCTGCTTGATTTGGTAATCAAACCATTGTCCTGCTTCAGGGGCTCTTGGTTCACCATCCCGGCTTCCAATGCTGTCAGCAGAGGCACAATCTGAATCGAAACGTGGGCATGAGGAATCATCTGGCAGCACTTGAGTACAACCATCTGACTCACCAGGAGTCTTCAACCAGAAGTAGGCATCAACGACATCTGGATTGGCCGTAGCTGTTGTTGCCACATGACCCACGCCAGCATCACGGATGTTGCACCAGTTCTTGCATTGGCTCCTCATTCCGGCAGCACCGTTGCGGCCTGTGTCAATGATCATGTGTGGGTCAAAGTCTTTGATGCCCTCTGACATGGCCTTGCGCAAATGAAGGGCATAGTTGAGCTCGTTGTTGGAGGGGTTCCATTGACCAATGAGGCCGCAGGGGTCAGCACAGCATGGATGATCATTGTTGTTTCCACCAAGGCAGAAGTCATAGGTGTCACAAATCTCCCCCACATGCTGGTAGCCAGCCACGTTGGATGCAAAGCCACGAATGTGAGAGGACACCTGCAGGCTCTTGATGGTCTTCACAAAGTCTTTCATGTTGTCCTTCCAACCCAACCAGCCACCATGACCAGCATCCAAGTAGATGGCAGCATAGGGGTCAGCACTTGCCAATGCCTTCACGGCATAGCTGACACCTTCCTCATATGCACTCTTGGTAGCCGAATTGCCACATCTTGGGTCACCCTGATTGGTGGACAGGTTGGGCAAGGAGTCAGGTTCGATCACAAGCACCACTGGAACACGGCCAGAGTATTTGCGGAGAACCTCCGCAATCTGGTCGATGTATTCCTCTTCGTACTCTTTCAGCCCTGCACTGCAGAACTTGTCAGAAACATCAGTGTAGTCACATCGGCCATCAGACTTGTAGCTGCAGCAAATCTCTCCATTGGATGCTTTTGCATGGCAATCGCGGTTGGGCAAGTCGTAGACAATGAAGAGGACCAACTCTGGAACGGGCTTGTTGGCTGCATCTTCCAAGATGCCTTCCATAGTGTTGGTGCTGCTACCTTTGATCTTCATCTTGTTGTCCAACCAATATGCTGATGGGATGTCTCTCATTGATTCCAGCGTGTCTTTGATCTTGCCACTGGCTGAACTGATGCTGCTGTCCAGCGAAGTCTTGTAGCTGGGATTCACGTAGAAGACCTTGTCAGCGAAAGGATTCCTCAGTTTGTTGCTGGAAATTTTCAGGAGTTGAAGAATAAAAACATCGCATGCCCTAATTCACACAAATGCACTTCTTTAAATTTCTTGCTGCACATTCTGCTGCACTCATACTGTTTGAACAAATACTCTGCCATACTCTGCCACATGTGTTTCTGTTGCTTCATATTGTCACGCTTCAAGCTCCCAGTAGATCCCAGCAAAAACACCATGCTCACCATACTCTTCATATCTTAATTCATATCTCAATTCATATCTCTTCATCCCAGTGATCCAGGTGATCCCAAGATCCGCCGGGAGTCTCTTGGATTTGCAACCGCCGCATGGTCTCCGCCTCCTGCGTGGCCATGGTGGTGCCAGCCACCAATGCTGCCACGGCCAGCCCGAGGAAGGTCAAAGCCACCGTGGCGCGCCGGGGCGATGGGGTCACCTCCACGGGGCCGACGTCAATGTGAACCTCCTCACATTTCCTGATGTGGCTTTTTAACATTTTTTAACCTGAAAATCAGCTCAAATTTGGGATTTCATTGGAAGTGACCTTTTGGAGTTTTCAGGACAGAGGTAGAAAGGCATATCAGTTTTGCACATATTTTACATGGAAATTTGCATATATACGTACTGTAAATATCTGTAAACAAGTTATGTACAGCAATCCGAGCAGAATGGCACTGCAGGAAGCATTGAAGAAACAAGATGAGGCACACGATTAAACTTTTATCAGCTTTGGAATGCAACAAACGACAAACCTATGAAAGTTTGCAGAGGCAAACATCAACAAGCAAGTTTCTTCTCCATCGCGAAGTCTGATCAAACGAGTCAACGATCCGGAGGTCTGCAAGCTTGGTATGCCCAAATGGCTGCCAAGGAAAATTTCTAAACACGCATGACACCAAATAAACATATACCGTATAGGCATCATGATACCGTGGCGGAACGCCATCAGAATCCTGTCTTTGAAGGCCAGAAAAGCTGATCGCCGACAAGTTCATGTTAATTCTGATCCCAAACGCAAAGCGCAGGAGCAACGTCCGGAGATCATGAACATGACAGCGACAAACAGCAAAACTGCAAAACACATCATTGAAATCATCTCATCCTGCAGTCGAAGACTCTGCTCGGGTGTTCTTAACTCATGTGCAAAACTGCTTCCTGCCGTGTGCCCAGTCAATGCTGACATGGCACGTTGTGCCAAAAAAATCACACAGCCTTTGCCCGCTCCATCAAAGTTGCATCGCCCAGCCTGCTACAGCTATCACACAATCACCAAGCCCGATGCCACATTCAGGCACAAAACTCTAGTCCAAGATTCTTCAGACATGTTTGCACCAAACAATGGCAATAGATTGATATTAGATCTATTACATCTATTACATCTATTTACATCTATTATCTCCATATATCTCCATGCCATTTGGATCTCATCTAGATCTACCGTTGTATGAAGATTCTATCATCATGTAAAATCCAGGTATATCCAGGTCACATCCCACCGGAAGCCAGCGGTCCTGCCTTCATTTGCCTGGTGAAGATCCTTGGTGCAGTCGCTTCCATTTCGTCACTTGGAACTTGACCAAAAAATGGCACTGGTGCGGGCTCCTCTGAATCAATTTCAATATTCAACCAAAAGGACCAAAAGTGTCATAGATTTTCATACATGGTCAATATATGTCAATATGATCCAAATGTTCATTCTGGTTTTCATACAATAAAATACAATAAATATTGGGTGATCAGCTGACCCATCCTGACCCGCAAGTTTCTCCCGAGGTGCTTCATGAAGATGTCAGGGTCGCCCTGCTTACGACGCAAGTACAGTCCCTGCAGCCAGAAGGGAAATGCAATTCATATCAAATGATACGGGGACTTGATCGAATTCAATCGCTTTCAATGGAATTATTTTGAACATATAATTTTGAGGCAAAAAACTGGGATACTGGCTCATGGTGCTCTCTCTCTCTCTCTCTTTGTTTTACTTGGATTGATGCTGCGTAATATTGAGGTGGCAAACCCAATCATAAACTAAAAACACCCAAAAATTAGGAAGATTGAAAAAACATAAAAAGAACCAATTTCTTGTAAGCCAGTAGTACTGCCTTTAGCACGTTATGACAGCACAGTGCTGCGACGGAGCCACAATTCCGCATCCAGCCTCACTCGGCTTCCACGGCTCCTCGTGTAGCCATGTAGCTCCTTCTACTGATAGTGGAAGCCCTCAGCAACTCTCTCTGCAAGGTGTTTCACCAACTCACAACTGATACATCTGATACCCAACAAACCAGTATCCCATCCATAGCCCATAGACATCCATAGACCACAACGTGGTCAGTGGACGTCATTGGCTTGTGTCTTTCCCTGTCTTTCCGGCATGTCTGAAAGAAAGACCTTGCCCTGACGCGTGTGACTGCTGAGCTAGTACGAGTACTAGGCAGAAGTGGGCTAGCTGCTACAGCATTGATGAGTTGCCCATAGTTGCCCAGTCTTTCCATCTCAACAACCGAGGCACCAATGAAAATTTCACAGTCCGAGGAGAGGATGAGTTCGCCCCTGTCAAAGTCCTGAAACAGCAAAGGTGATCCTCCCCAGCTGTTCTACTTTTATGTCCCACAGACGCACCACTACTAGGTCGTTCTCAAAGCTAGAATCTGAGAAGTGCTTGTTAAACAACAGCAAACCGTTTATAAGGTGGATTGTAGGAGGGCGGTTCAAGGGATCTAGATGATCTAAGGAATCTAAGATCCCCTGTGGCTAGTCATTTGGCTAGTCATCAAAGAGCACCATGCCAGGCACACAGCATTAGCATCGGCCCATGGCTGTCCTGGAGGTAAAACCAACGGTAGCACAGCAGCCGACCTTCCTGCGCCAGACCCCGCATTCGAGGAGGAAGGCGTCCAGTTTGCATAGATCGGTCCCTATAGGGAATCACTCCTGACAGCTGTGAGGCCAGCAAGTGGAAAAAAACAAAGGAGAAACAATGGAGAATGACACGAATGACACTGCAACTCTCTCGTCCTTCACGTTTCCCAATCCAGTGCCTCTGGTCACCGACATGGCAGTGTGCTGCCAAGGTGCCCCCTTAAGATATGAAAATCAGATGCAGTAAATATATCTGCCTATGTATCTCTCACTATCTCTCTATCTCCCAAGCCTGCCCGGCTCCGTCCTGAAGAAAGAACCCGTTGCAATCCCAAGGGCCTTTTGTCCGCCACGGAGATCAGCCTTGGCCATGTCACACGCATTGCACAGCCATCCACCAATCGTAACACGTCACATTATCAATCATGGCTGGCTCTTTCTGTGCAGGTCCTAGTATACATTTACAAGCACCTGTGCACACGCGCACATGCACAATAGTACATTTTTTTTCTTTTCTCCTGGCACGCCTTTTCTGGTCTCTCTCTCTCTCTCTCTCTCTCCCTCCCTCCATGTACAGTATGGTGCAGAAAATTCAGATCCCATTTCTATCCATTTCTGATAACATTATGACAATTTCAGACGCCTGTCCCATTGTTGGTGAAAAAGGACTTAGTATCAACTAGTATGCGATAACTGGATCCTTGCTATCACTGGGTTAATTACTATCATCCCAGATATACTTTAACCATTTCCGTATTCCCATTGGCTATCATCTCAGTTATAGATCCCCAATGATGCCAGTTCTATCATACCGTAAAAGTATATAGTATACTTATGTATAATTAATCCCAGTGATGGTTATATAATTGCTATCAAATTATGTAGAATTATATAAATTATATCCCTGATCCCCCATTTATGGTAAGCCCCCATAGTAAGACCACCAGCCACCTGTCGCCACCGCCGAAGCACTGCAAGGGCTCGCGGCCTGGAAGTCGAAGGGCCACCGCTTTGCGGCCATCCTTCGCCTGAGAGGCCTGGACCACGGGCTCCACCCTGCTCCAACTGTTTAATGATCTATATCGACATACACACACACACACATATATATATATAATGGATTTCTAGGGCACAAACATCGTGCTTTATATTTATAGATAAAATCACACACGCACACCATATATATATATATATAATATGTTTGCTATATGGCTGGTTGACCAGCCGATCTTTTGGGTTTCAACTGGCTTTAACTGTTTTGGCTGATATGGATTGATATGGCTGAACTTAGATTCGACAGCGACGAAAACAATTCGAAAAGTTGTTTGGGATTTGTTTGATGGGTTCGGCGCTGCTGCTTGCTGCGGGTAGAAAGGCATCTGAAATTTTCTGGTCAAATTCTGGTCACCTTGCCTCGCAGTGGAGAGGAAAGTGAAAAATGGCCAAGCCTCAGTCTCCAGTCATCACACAGCACAAAGGGATATGAGTTGAGAGCTACATCCAAGCAACTCTCACCTGGAGGAACCCACACAGCCTCCACCTGCGGGTTCCAACATGCTCGAAGCAATTTGAATTGTTACAGAGGTGCAGGGGGCTTGGCCCTCGGCTCTCACACAGGGGCCCAAGGAGCAAACAGCTGGAAACAAAGCACATGAACCCTCTTAGCATTGGGAATGCAGAAAATTGTATCAAACAATATCAATTATCAAACATATATAAAAAACATGTGACAAACAACTGACTGAATCAGGAAAGTGATGAACGGAATAACACCTGCCCCCCAAAGGAATGGTTGATACTGGGGGGATTCAGATTTAGGGTTCAAGGTTTGGGGATTTAGATTTAGGGCAATGTCCATCAATGACCCCGAACCCAAAACCAATTCAGAGATATCCGAAGGTTTTCTCCGTTCGGCGGGGCCTTGAATGTTGTGCAAACCAGTTTATGCTAACACCAATGGGGCAAGCGCTAGCAATGGGGGCATGGGACATGTGGCCAACAAATGGGCATGTGATATATGTAAAGTTTGCTATTAGTTCTTTTCTCAAGTCGAAATCCCGTAGCGCGCTGGTTGAAATACAGCCACCATATATAGATCTCCCTTGCCAACCTTTGGGACTAAACTTCTCCTCAGACCAGATCTGAATGCTGGGAGTGGCCTTGCTGTGGATGATTTCATGCAGTTTTACCGGACAATTTGTTGGAAACCAACATGTGTTGACAGGAGTGCAACAGCTCCATCCACCCTGGGCCATTTGCAGCTTCCACCTCATCCTTCTTAGGATCAGCGATGAAGTCCATGACATCCATGACACTTCTATCTCGCCCGCCTGTCAATTCCACAGCTGCTTCATGTTGCTAGAACTGATGAACACCTATGAAGATATCATCTGGTGGTGAGCCGCTGCCCCAACATCCACCAAAAAAAAATGACAGTCATCCAGTCATCCAAAGTTTCAACATTGCTGACACGGAAACTAACACCGGACACTGTCAACCATTGATACCATTTGCCATCCAGCTATTGGTGGCTACTTCCCCAGCACATCATTTCCATCGCAACGGCAATGTAGCCTGTATGTTCCTCCACAATCTCTGCCACTCGATTAGACACTGCTGGTTCTTGAATTCCACTGTTCTTATTCCTGGGCGTTACTGCAAGGGTGGCTCTCACTGTCCGGAAATATGACCCAGAAAATGTCTGGAAGATTCTGGGGTAGGGGATGTTTGGTTGGAATCCTCATGAATCCTCAAAACGAGCCATATACCAGGACCTACCAGCTTCTGAACTGGGGTTCACCTCTATCTTGGGGACTCCTCAATGGTCTCCTATTTGACATGCCTCACTAGAACGAGGCAAGAATAGGGATCAATGGTGGCTGGTGGCCCCAAAACAGACCCAAGGTGTTCAAGACCTGGCACAAGGGGCACCCTATACCTTGAGCTCTTTCGATCGGCTCCCATTTGTTGGGGAATTTTGGCTCCAGCTGCCGAGATGCGGCAACAGCCCTGGCATCACCTGCACGAAGCTTGCGCTGGAATTGCCTCATCTCTCAAACGATTTTCCGTGAGATGTTGCTATGAAGGCATCACAGGATGTGGGTATGTTGAAAGTATCCCTGACGTTCCTGTACTTTACTCATCTTTACTCTTGCTTCCGAGTCAAAGTTCTCAGGTTGTCTTTCCACTACCTTTGGCCAAGGTGCGCAGAATGAAGCGCGGCGTCACTGTGATACCTTTTCCCGGGAAGCGAGGAATGCTAAGCACAGTGTGCACCTCCAGCAACGCAGAGCCATGTGATGATAGGGTCGTGGCATTTTAGCATTGGGTTAGTCGCAGCTCATCGAACCGCCTTGCTGTGCATCAGAACTTCAATTGAGATGCGTTGAGAGCACGAACCTCCATCCCAATGAAATTTACCTAAATAACTTTTCTCATATTCACCAGGGTATCTGAACCTATCCCAGCGACGTCAATGCTGGATTCAGACACAACCTTGAAATTATCTTCGGCACATGATGCCAATAACACATCACACACACAATATGTACATACAACATCATAATTGCTTTAAAACACGCACACACATTCACACACGCACACACACACACACATAATCGCACACACACGCACACATAAATATAATTAAATATATATATAATATTATATATATATAATTATATATAATTAAACCCCCTGTCAATTAAGGGTTGGGGCTGCGCAACCATTTTGTAGTGAAGAAACGGCCTGCATAGCCTCAAACTCTACTAAATGGATGTGCATGCATGATCGAATTTCACTACTAAATGTGGGCCCCTGGTTCAGCTGAAACGCAAAATTTGGATATATTTTCAGAGTGTCTTAAGACGCCAACATGACTCGACCAAACACCCTGTTCCATTTAGTAGAGGTACTCATTTGAGCACAAGTTGCGGGACCAACATCACTCGACCAAAACCCCAAAGCCATTTAGTAGAGAAATGCACGGGGTCCATTTAGTAGAGAAAACAACATGAAACACATATGACTGATCCCATGACCATCCATTTAGATTTAGCATCGCCCCCCAAAAAAGGTAACAAAAGAACCCAAGCACGAAAGGCAGCACCCGACGAGCAAGAAACACCCAAGCGAGGGATTTGGCATCGCCCCCCAAAAAAGGCAAAAAAAGAACCCAAACACGAAAGGCAGCACCCGACGAGCAAGAAACACCCAAGCGAGGGATTTGGCATCGCCCCCAAAAAAGGCAAGGCAGCACTTGGCTAGACGGGGAAAATCTTGACAGATTTTGGACATTTTGGGACTACAGAATGGTGTTCCATAGCACGTAAGGGATAATAGGGCACACAAGGATGCAACAGGGAAACAAACAATTCTAGATAGACTGATCCCATGACCATCCATTTAGTAAGCACCCGACGAGCAAGAAACACCCAAGCGAGGGATTTGGCATCGCCCCCAAAAAAGGCCAAAAAAGAACCCCAACACGAAAGGCAGCACCCGACGAGCAAGAAACACCCAAGCGAGGGATTTGGCATCGCCCCCAAAAAAGGCAAGGCAGCACTTGGCTAGACAGGGAAAATCTTGACAGATTTTGGACATTTTGGGACTACAAAATGGTGTTCCATAGCACGTAAGGGATAATGGGGCACACACGGATGCAACAGGGCTTTGTTTCAAACAGTTCTAGATAGACTGATCCCATGACCATCCATTTAGAAAGCACCCGACGAGCAAGAAACACCCAAGCGAGGGATTTGGCCGCCCCCAAAAAAGGCAAAAAAAGAACCCAAACACGAAAGGCAGCACCCGACGAGCAAGAAACACCCAAGCGAGGGATTTGGCATCGCCCCCCAAAAAACGCAAAAAAAAACAAACACGAAAGGCAGCACCCCACGAGCAAGAAACACCCAAGCGAGGGATTTGGCATCGCCCCCCAAAAAACGCAAAAACAAACAAACACGAAAGGCAGCACCCGACGAGCAAGAAACACCCAAGCGAGGGATTTGGCATCGCCCCCAAAAAAGGCAAGGCAGCACTTGGCTAGACGGGGAAATCTTGACACATTTTGGACATTTTGGGACTACAAAATGGTGTTCCATAGCACGTAAGGGATAATGGGGCACACAAGGATGCAACAGGGCTTTGTTTCAAACAATTCTAGATAGACTGATCCCATGACCATCCATTTAGTAAGCACCCGACGAGCAAGAAACACCCAAGCGAGGGATTTGGCATCGCCCCCAAAAAAGGCCAAAAAAGAACCCAAACACGAAAGGCAGCACCCGACGAGCAAGAAACACCCAAGCGAGGGATTTGGCATCGCCCCCCAAAAAACGCAAAAAAAAAACAAACACGAAAGGCAGCACCCGACGAGCAAGAAACACCCAAGCGAGGGATTTGGCATTGCCCTCAAAAAAGGCAAGGCAGCACCTGGCTAGACAGGGGAAATCTTGATAGAATTTGGACATTTTGGGACTACAAAATGGTGTTCCATAGCACGTAAGGGATAATAAGGGCACACAAGGATGCAACAGGGCTTTGTTTGAAACAGTTCTAGATAGACACATCCCATGACCATCCATTTAGTAGAGGCAGCACTTGGCTAGACTGGAGGCGGCATGGCAGGATACCGCAAGGATGCTATCTTTGTCCAACTTCTGTTGTTTCATATCGCGGTATACCCGATCATGTTGATTTACTTCAACCCAGGAATATCTTTGATATTCATTGGCATTCTAGAATTTATATTTATTTTTCAAGCTTCTTATTTTTTTGAGCATCTATTATCATATACTATCTGGATTTACGTGATTCATCCTGATGGACATGGATTGGCCAAACGACTATCGGGGGCAACGGGATGGGAATCGCTACTAAATGGTTTTTCAGTTTTGTCTCGTGTCATTGTGACCGTTTTATGAACTCTACTTCGCAACCTCTACTAAATGGTTCCTGTGATTTTGCAACATTTTTTTTGACATCTCTACTAAATGGTTTTACCCAAAAAACAACATTTGACATCATATGATTAACATATCATTTTTACCTCACTACTAAATGTGGATCATGGGTCTAGAGATGTTTACTTGATTTTTTTTGAAAATCATGATTCTCTACTAAATGGTTTCTGGAAATTTCACACTAAATTTTTGGTTCACTTTCCGGGACCTAGGTCATAGCATTTAGTAGTGGAAATTGGCAGGAGGATTATAATTATATATATAATATAGATATCACATCTCTCCCTCTCTCTTTCGAGTTTAGAAACATGTACTGTATATTATATTCCTATTAATTCATATTGCATACACCGCACCCAAACTATACATAGAGGTACTTGATTCCTAGCGGGTATGGTTGGCCCGATATCATCCAACCCAGTGGGCCCTTCTGGAGCTCCATTTTTCCTTGCCATTCTTAGGTCACTTTCGCTTCCTCTCAGCATCTTCAGGGAATCCACTCCTGCAAGTGTTGATGATCAGCACCAATCCCAGCAAGACAACTGATAGCACTGCTATGAAGGCAACCATGGTGGCCACAGCCTCTGGTTTATGGCTGTTGGCCATGGCCCAATTCAACGTTCGCCAGATCTCCCGTTTGTAGAAGAAGATCTTGGACGACAAGGTGCGACCCTGTCGCAACAAGGGTGCACCACTCACGAGCTTCTGCAAGTCTTCTGTCAAAGAGGTGGCCCGCAAGTGCTCGATGTCCTCTGACAAATCGCTGGATGATGTGTCATTTCACTGAGACACCAAATGGGATGAACGGCATAATCATCATGGCACAAAAAGAAAACTATTTTTCCCCACCTGCCAGGTGAGGGTTGTTAGATTTTATCAGAGCTGTTCTTCCGCCTCCTCCTCCTCCTTCTCCTCCTCCGCCTCCTCCTCTTCCTCCTCCTCCAGTTTCTCCTCGACCATGTCTGCATCAACTTCCACGTCCACTTCCGCCTTGCCAACTCGTCGCCAATCTCTTCGCCAACTTCTGCGCGCAGTGGGCACTGCTGGACCTCAACTGCCGGCTTCGGCCTTGCCAACTCGTCGCCAATCTCTTCGCCAACTTCCGCGCGCAGTGGGCACTGCTGGGCCTCAACTGCCGGCTTCGGCCTTGCCAATCTCTTCGCCAACTTCCGCGCGCAGTGGGCACTGCTGGACCTCAACTGCCGGCTTCCGCCTTGCCAACTCGTCGCCAATCTCTTCGCCAACTTCCGCGCGCAGTGGGCACTGCTGGGCCTCAACTGCCGGCTTCGGCCTTGCCAACTCGTCGCCAATCTCTTCGCCAACTTCCGCGCGCAGTGGGCACTGCTGGGCCTCAATTGCCGGCTTCGGCCTTGCCAATCTCTTCGCCAACTTCCGCGCGCAGTGGGCACTGCTGGACCTCAACTGCCGGCTTCGGCCTTGCCAATCTCTTCGCCAACTTCCGCGCGCAGTGGGCACTGCTGGACCTCAACTGCCGGCTTCGGCCTTGCCAACTCGTCTCCAATCTCTTCGCCAACTTCCGCGCGCGGTGGGCACCGCTGGATCTCAACTGCCAGAGGATATGCCAGATAAAATGCCAGAAGATATGCCAGCTAGAATGAGTTCTGATATGCCAGATAGAATGCTACAAGGTATGCCAGATAAAGTTCAGAATGTTTGCCAGATAGAATGCCAGAAGATTTGCCAGATAGAATGCCAGATAGGATGTCAGAAGATATGCCAGAAGATATGCCAGATAGAATGCCAGATCGAATGCCAGAAGATATGCCACATAGATTGGCAGAAAGTGTGCCAGAAGATATGCAGGATAGAATATGAGAAAGAAGATTTGCCAGACAAAGAACTAGAACATAGGGACAAAGAATGCCAGAAGATAACCCAGATAGAATACAAGATCATGTCGAGTAGAATTTGAGTGGATCGCTCGCTTTGCTGGGTCCTGGGTCAAGCAAGCTCAAGCCAAAGCAAGTTGTCAGAAGATATGTCAGATAGAATGCCAGAAGATATGTCAGTAACAAATGTATAAATGTCATGGTGGGGATCACTCGAAGTAAAGTAATTTTCACCAATGGTGCGTATCAATTGCAAGAACACCAAATTTCCAAAATCCACCGACCCAAAGGCACCATCAAAAACCCGATTGACAAAATAGATTTTCACGTGTCCGTGTCACTCCGTGTCCTCGATCCAGACCTCGAAATTCCTCTCAGAGAGAAGTACTCGTGGCAGTTGACTTGGTTCGATGTTGAAATGTTTCAACTCTTCTGACCTGACAGGTGGATACAGGTGGGCAACACATGGCAACACTAGCCACAAATAAGCAAACTGGGTGCTTGTATGAAAGCCGTTGCGGGATGCTCTAAGGGGGGTACTTGTATCAAGATCTTGTAAGATCTTCTAGAGGGTCCTTCTATGACGATGTTATGAAATTCTAATTGGGACCTGGAATGAGGTCCTGGTCAGGAGCTTTTTTGTCAGCAAATGTTATCCTTAACACTGTTTGTGCCGGGATAGTTTTTCCTCCAGTTGGATTGCCAGGTTTGTCTGATGATGGGGTATACCACCAAATGATCAAATGGTCATTTAAATTGGGAATCATATTATAAAAAATAGGGGTACCCATGGGTAACTTATTTTTCAGACCAACTCACCTTTCCCCTTGTCAATCTCTTCGGAAATCCTTTCACATCTCACCAGATCAATCCAGGATACCCTCTGGTTATTTAACATAGCCATGGAAAATCACCATTTTCAACAGGTAAACCATCTATAAATGGGCCATTTTCCATGGCTATGTTAGTCATAACCAGATGGTAATCCAGGTCACCAGTGGGTGCCATTCATGGCGCCAAAGACGAAGTCCTCCTTCAGCTGCGCTTGCGCGCTGCGGATCTCTGCCTCCAGCACCTCGCTGGCGGCCCCGCCGTCCAGTGCCAGCAGCACGGCGCTGCGGTCACTGTGGGTGAACTCATAGAAGTTCAGCTCACCCAAGGCCCAAATGCCGGGAAAGCGATGCCTTAGGTTGGGCATGTTGGGCTGGATAGGAGGTGAATGATGTTGATGGAATTTTATGGATCTTTCATGATCTTTCTTATCCTGGTTTGACATTTGTTGACGATATTTTTTTTTTGAATGGGGGCTCTTTTCAAGGTGGGAGGTGAGATAAAACAATGAATCGGGAAGACTGAAGTGGATTCGTGGAAGCGCGCTTCGCATCAGAGTTTCAATATCACCGCGCTGAAAGCAGGTGGGGTGGTCAGTGAAGGGTTCCTGTAGTGTAGAGCTCTTCATGCCTCAAGAGCACGATGAGCTTCAAACCTCCCTTGAATTCCTTCAATCTGATGGTGGAACGCGTTGCCATCATTGATCATACATCTTTGATTCCGACGCTCTGTATCTGAACATCTCGGAGGCTGTCACCTTCCCGTGCGAAATGTCAATGGCCAATTGCTTTTGAATTCCTGGTGGTTGAGATGGTCTTGTTGCTGCTGGCAATCATTGCCTCCTACGCTGAAGCCAAAAATTAACTACAGCGCAACACAAATGGGAGAAGTGCCCACTTAGTTGCGGTTGAAACATGCCCTGACTGGGTACCTGGGCTTCTGCCTCTCTGATCTCTGAATAGCATGGATCAAACTTGGTCATCTGATGGCAAGGATAGGTGGAATGGCATCATGTGGAAATATGTGGAATTTCATCCATTCGCAGCACGCCAGTGCCGGCAAGTTGCATCGTAATCCACTCCTGCACCGCGGATTCGTTGTCCAAGGAACCCTTGTAGAAGCTTGCGGCTGGGGGGCCCGGGCCTGCGCGGCCCCACTGCTGTTTGGCAGGAGAATAAACCTCGAATGTTGCGCAGCATGTCTTGGTTGTTCTTTGGAATATGAAAATCTAAGCTCTGCGAATCCCTTGCATGGACATATGCAGGGGCGGTAACAGTGAGAGATCTGTAAACGCAACAAGTTATGAACGTTGGACACCGGAAAGATGTGGTAAATCCAAATTTAGCTTAAGCAACTTCCGAAAATCATCGAGCATTCCCCCTCAAGAACGAACACAGTTTCCTGCAACAAAAATCAGAAAATCATAGAATTATCCATCTTTTCCACCGATGTGATGTGGCAAAACGTGCAACTGCCACGACTACTATTGACATTATTGACCCATGATCATCCGTCCAAGATGGCCAAAATCCTATGGTTGATCACTATCCCAGGGTATTCCATTTGGATCAAATCATTTGGATCATGTGCCCAAAGAGATATAACACTTTACTTCGTGTGACCCCCACGGTGGCATATATCCCGGCATAAATTCTGACATTCTATCTGACATCTTATCCGACAAAATTCCGACAAATATACTGACATGATCTGACATGCTATCTGCCATTTGATCCCACACATATTCTCACATACTACCTGACATTTTGTCTAACATATTATGAAATGTTGTCTGGCATTCTATCTGATCATTCTGACATTCTATCTGACACAGTGTTTGGGTCTGGCGAGCCCCAGAGAGCTGGCAAGCTCGCGATAGAGTGGTTGTGTCTTGGTGTCCGTGTCCGTGTTCGGTTGTCCGGGATGTTTTGTTAAAATCTAGAATCTAGAGGTGGGGAAATATAGAAAAACAAAAAACATCAAAAAACATATTTGAAACTGAACCACCGGCCAGAATTTCACAAACAACTAGCAAAAACTGCTGAAGTCAATGCAGTTCGACAGCCAAAGTGGCACCTTCCGGTACTGATACCTCCGGCAACTCATCCAACCCGGCGGCAATCAGGTGCCGGTCCATCCAACGGCGTGCCACTGGACTGAATGCGTCAGCTTGCCTAGCGCATTCAGACTGCACTTCGGCAACTGGAACTCATCACATCGAAATAACAAATCGATTGCAACTCATCAGCTGTTTCCGTATCATCCTTTATCATCCTTTATAATCCTTTATCATCCTTTATCTATGTTAATGGAGGGTAAGGGCCCTACAAACAATACATTCCAGACATTTACAACCCACTCACAAGGTCAAAGCCTCACCTCTCGGAGACCAGAATGGCACTGTAGGTCTCCATGGCCTTAGCTCCCATATCTTGGCTGAATATCAACGTGTTTCAATTAGGCTCATCATCGTTCTATTTTATCAGACACATTGCATCAAACACTATGGGCCAAGCATCCCCAAATTACTCCAAATTCACCTCTTGGAGTGGGAAACCAGGATTTTGATGGATTTTGATATTGTGCTCGACGACTTGATCCAAACGACCATCCAAGTTCGTACCCAGCTACAGGAACCAGGTGGGGTGCTTGCTATCCTCAAACAGGCTTCCTCATATTTCCTTCATTGCCATCTTTGATCCCAGCACGCAAGAATGCCGTAAATAATCCCATCCCCATAATTGTACGTAAATAATCCCATCCCCATAATTGTACGGTCCCAAACATGTAATTTCATCCCTACACCCACGATGGTTTCTGGTGGTTGTTTAATACGAACGGGGGAAGGACTCATGGGATTATAACAGATTATAGACTCTGGATTATTTGGGGCATCATCCATTATATTCTAATCCCTTGGATCCATTTCAACCCACAGTTGCAATAATCCATTATAATCCCATAATCCATACATATCCATACTAATCTTTGCTGATGGATCTATTGCAATAATCCAAGGCTGTGGACCATTGCCTTCTGCAACTCCTCCCACTTCATCTGCCGTACGGCTGGGCCTGTCATGCGCTCCGCATAGCGAACGAAGCCTTCGATGCTGCGATGCCCACGGAAGTTCTGTGGCTCCCGGTCGTCGCTGAAGAATAACCTGGTTTCACTGGTCCCAGACTCTCAACATGTTTCAACGGGTCCCAGGCTCGATTCCATAGATTTTTATAGGCTGGTAGGCATCTCTCCCAATTTTTAGGACACTTATTGATGATCTCCAGCATTTGTTTTGATCCCCAGCGTTTGACTGTGATGTTTTAATATGAGAAAAAAGGGTCAGGGGACATCAGGGGACCAGTGCTTTTTTTGAGTGATGTTTGACACTTTTAAGAAGTATATAAAGCATCCTGCTATTTGGCAACATTGAACTTTTTACCGACTGGTGGTTTCAAGCTGTCACAAGCTACATGACAACTGGCTAGTAAATGGTGATCAGGCGGTGGATGGTTTCAAGCTTTTCCCTAACAGTCCTAACATATACTGAAATATGAATGGCATTCAGGGATGGACACAGAAATTGTGAATTTATACTATGAATACCCAACCCTTGCACTACTACGCAATAACTACCACATTGCCAGCCAAAGGCAATGTCCACAATTCCATCCAACAAAACATTGATCAACCCATGTCAGCATTGACTGGCTATGCCGCCTTTAAGTATTGATTGAGGTTGAAAACAGGCAATGTTTCCATCCTGTCTTTTGTGGCAACAGGCAATGCCACAAAAAGATCCACGTGACCACGTGGCCAGATTGGGGCCAGGTTTCGGAAGTCGTGGCTGTACGTACAACTGCCCTCGTTGATTTTAGAGTTTCAGAAAGGCGTTGTGAAAATCTGTTCGTCCGATTTTTTAGTTGGTGAATATCCTCTGGTGAACTAACATAGCAATGGAAAATGGCCATTTATAGTGGATTTTCCCATGAAAATGGTGGATCTTTCCATAGCTATGTTAGTTTACCAGAGGGTATCCTCAAACGTGGTTATGCTTCTCATATTTTCATGCTGTGAACTTTGAGTCATGGATCTTCTGGACTTCGCACACTCACCACCCAAGAATCCGGCAGCATGTCAGCACAAAACCAAGAAACATAAACTGTCGTAAACAATCATAACATAATATAACATATATAAAATACATCAAAAACATTTCAAAAACAACATGGTGTAACCTGGCACTTGCCGCGGGACAGCATTGTCATTTTTTTCCTAGAAACTTGATGGTGGGATATCCTTGCACCTGGAATCTTTGACATAGCGTCTTGTCATCTGTGCACTCCACATGGGCAAAGGCCACCGGCACTTCCAGTTCGATCACCGCGTTGGAGGCTGCTGCAAAGGTTGGGAAGGTCCTCTGGCAGGCCTTGCACCAGGAGACATGGAACATCACCAGTGCAGCCCGCTGCGAATGCCGTTGCTCCTTGAGAAACTCATCGAAATTCTCCTTGTTCAAAGTGGTGGCGTTTCCATGGTCACCACCTGGGGAGTGAATTTCAGTTGTTTCGTTTGTGAGTTGGAGGTGTGCCATGGCTGGCCCTCTTCGTCCTCTTCTATTGTAATTACGTGGTCGGCCAAAGAAGAGGCTGTTCCATCATATCTCGTGCCCCCAAACTTCCCTGCCTGCTGCCCAGCATGGTAGAACCATTGCAGAAAGCAGCATGAAGCGCAGCATGGCGACAACTTGAAAGCCAAGCATCTCTCCGGCTGAAATAACATAAATGATGTTGGTCCTAATTTTTCATGCGCATTTCTTTCGATCAAACTGGAGTTTGGGTTTGATTTGGATGTCATGATGTGCGTGACTGTTTTTTCTGTGAATCCTCATGGTGTCTTTGGGCATTTCCTGTGGCTTAACCCAGCACTTCAACTTGGCGACACTGTCCTGTTGGATGTGCATCCCGGCTGGTGGCTGATAACCATAACCGGGGTGTACCCCAGTTGTATTTTGGGGAAAACTGTAGCCACTAAAATCACTAAATACTGCCAAATGGATCCAAATGGGAATAAATACATGGGATGCACCCCCGAACTTGGATGGTCAACGCACCCCACCTGAACCCCGAAGAACATCACTTCTGGCTTCTCAGGCTGTTCAGGATTGCTCGCTGATGCCATCAATTCACCTGCTGCATGGTCAGTGGATGAGTCGGATGTGTGGATCTGCGAGATGTGACTGGATGTTCAGTTTAAATCATTTAAACACATTTTAACACCAATTCTCTTTTTCTGTGGATGTTGTTGGATACAACGTAACATAATGCAACAACTTGCAAAAATACCACCCTCATGTGACATACAGCCAGCGGCACCTGCATAGCTGACCTGGATGGGAACACCATTGCCACACCAGGCACCATGAAGCAGTTCCTCAGGAGATGGGAGCTGGGTACCAAGGTCTGATGCAAACGGCGCACGGAATTTGTGTATCTCAGATCTGTACATATTTGAATGTGGACATATGAGGTTTTTAAGATTATATTTAATTGCATGTGTGTATGCATGCCTGAAAAATATTCTATAATATCTGATAATCACACATGCACAATAATTCAATATCGACAACATATACCAACATAAACATACATTAAACCAATAATCACACATAAACCATTAAACACCCTCACTTGTGCAAATGCAACGGCTGTGGCCGATTCCATCCTTTCAGGACACACATCCCACCTGACCTTTCATCCCGTGAAAACCCTTCCGAAAAACACCTTTCCGGAAGTGCACACCTTTTAATCTTCAAAACTAAATCATACTAAATCCGTGTGTTTAAACACGTTTCAACCTTAAAATAAATTAAATTACAAGACTTTCATATAATTTCCACAATTGGAACACACCCCAACTTCTGTCAACTTCCAACCTTGGCTGCCTCAGGCTTCACCGAGCATCTGGCACCTTTGCGCAGCGGCAGCGTCCTCCTTCTTGGTCCCAACCCTTGGTGATCTTGTCGATGGTTTCCTGTGGAACAACCAAGCTGGGCCAAAAAAATCACGAATCAGATTGGCCCGTCTAAGCATGTCTACACCATTTCAGGTTCATTGGTTACACAAACATTTGATTTTCAATTCCTGGTTTGCGACTTTGTCATTGTATCATTTTGTATCACCACACTCTCCCACTCTCTCTCTCTGTGGGACAGCTGGGGGATGCCAACATCTGGCCTGTTTCAATGACCTCATGTAATCGTCCTGATCAATGGCCGCTTCACCCATTTGTTGAAACATGTTGAAACAATGTACAGTAGTGACCCCAGCAATAAAACCAACGCATTTCTACAGTTTGAGGGTGGCTTTTTATAAGCCCGAACAGTTGAGGTCTAGTTTATGAGATTGATGTGATTGCTACCGGTTGCTGTTTTCAAAGATCTCGTTATCATCTTTATCCGCCATCCGAGGCTGATTGCTTCACATTACTAGATACCAAGATGTACCAAGTCACTAACGCTTCAGGGGTCCCGGGAGTTCCCCTGAGCGGTCTCCTCTGCTTGCAAGCTCTGCACGGTTTGATTCAACTCAGAAAGCCAATCTCTCAAAGCAGTGGCATCAGGTGCATGGAGAACCAGCGGTTGTCCTTGCATCCCGAAACCAAAACTTGTTTCCATGGAATCGGCGGCGTTTTCTTTCAGAATGTTAAACCCGAAAACTTGTGGTAATGCACATGTAAACAGGTTTAATTATGTTACACCATGTTCCAGTTATAATTGAAAACTCGTGCGCAAGAATAACGTATTGAAATTGTCCTTCTCAAAAGGTACTGTACCTAAAGATGACGCATATTCCCAGCCTCGGCCAGGATCTTCCACGCTGAAACAGTCCTGGACGGTGCAAGGCAAATATATGGAAGGCCCATCTGTACCTCCTCACTAACCCGATGAGAAAACATGCAAACACATTAAACACCATATTATACCATATTGATCCATATTGTAACATGACATACAGTAATTATGCATAAATTATCATAAATCAGGCATCCACAGCCACTGCAGTAGCTCAGGCAGAAGAATTTGGATCAGATCTCCAATCGAGGACTTTTGAGATGACAGAGCCGGGTGGAGATTAACTTGGATCAGTGACAGGCGAAAGTTTAGTGAAGTGGGCTAAATCCTCAATCCCACCATTCCAACATGTTTCAACCCACTCCAACACGGGCCGGCCAATATCCTTGGTCACGGCCTTACCCCAAACTTGGCAGGTGCTTGGGCATGCCAAATCTGTTTCCATCTGCGCGCCAGGCTCATTTTGGGCTGCACTATCGGGTCTGTTTCCTATATACAATGTAATTATCTTGCAGGATTCGTTTCATTCAGATTCACCACATTCCTTCACAAAGAAATCGTCTTCTTGGTGCTCAGCTTGCCAAGCTTGTGCTGCAGCTTGACGCACACAGAGGTGAGATTGTCATCCTTCTCGTGATGCGAGGGTGGCCCAATGGCTTTCCCATGTGTTCCACTCCGCCACATCCGTCGCCCCAGGCTTTGCCGCGTTGCCGTGGCATCTTGCCCAAGGGGCTGGTATAAAGGCTGCACAGGGAGTGAAGGATGGGGAGCTTCTGCTGGCGCCCGTTTGGCATCCGGAGTTGCTGGTGCCGGTGGTGCTACTGGTCCCACTGCTGCCACTGGTGCCGCTGGTGCCCTTGCTGTGGGTGAAGTCGCTGGATGTGGGGCTGGGGGGCCTGTGACTTGCACAAACCCACAGGGCACAGTTTGTGGCACAGGAGCTGGGGCTGCTGCAGGTGGGGCTGCGGGTGCCCCTGGCACGGCTAAGGCTTTTGCTTGTGCCAAGTTTGGCCTGGACAAGCCTTGCGCCACCCCCACGGTGCTTCGAACGTTCGGCTGTCGAGGGAATGCTGCCAGTGGAGCATAGGAGCCACAACCGCCATGTGTTCCCAACGGCCTGTTGAAGTTCGGGGCTGGTGGTGTTGCTGTGCCAGATCCTTTGAGCGAAGTCCGCATCTCATTCCCTGGTTTCATCAACACAGGTGGTGCTTGGGGCGTGGAGCACGCTGAGGTTGGCGTGTAGGAATGCCGCGGTGACCGCCAAGCGGGTTGCACACCAGGAGGCGTCCAACTTGAGGACATCACCACATTCTGTGGACTGGCAACCTGCCTTGGAACCCCCGGCGCCACCAAGTGCACTGGCAGCGATGGAGTCACCTTGGCATCACTGAAGGACCAGCGCATCCGGAGATTCGAAGGTGCTGAGTTTCCAGGTTGTAACCGTGGTGTCATGTTCGACATGCTTCCAGTTGGGTCAGGATATGGCACGCTTCCATCCACATTGGACTTCTGCTCCTGGGACTGTGTTAAGGCATCCATAGAAATAATCCGCCTGACAGGGAGAGGAACATGAAAGCGAAATGATGCTCTTAAGGCAGCCCTTTGGATCATACAAACGTCATGGAAGAGACCACACACGCAAAAAATGTACAGTACAAAAATACCAAACAAACTTGCAGAATATCCAACAAGGTTTGACCTTTGCTTTAAACAACCTCCAATCCCAGCAGTAGCAAGGACAGGGAACATGCACATCATATCCTGCCACACATGCACAGTATTCGTAGATCTTACAGTCTTGAATTTGCATCCTTCCAACTGCCGCTTATTTGGTCGAGGTTGTTAAACGAACCAGCTACAATCCATTTGCAATCCATTTGCCGCCCCTTATCACCTTTACTAACCTCCCTCTTCCATAAACTCCCCAAGGTCCCTGGGCCTGGCACAGGGGTGCTGCACTGGGGGTGCAGAGCTGGTCCGAAGCAAGGGCTGCGGAGCTGTCGCGGTCAGGCCAGCGCCGCCAGCAGCTGAGTTGTCGCCTCCCAGGTTTATCGGTCCATTCAATCAATTAAAAATTAAATTGAAATGAGTTTCAACATGATTCAACTTTTGGGGTCTGGATGGGATCTGGCATCAAAATCATCGATCAGTGACTAGGGGGCAGCTGGTCGTTCAAGAGGAGGGAAAAACACCGAATGAATTTGAATCTGGGAGCCAGATCAGGTCATGGCTAGTTGTTCTAGATAGTTCTAGCAGTTGGACCCCCTTCCCACCGCATGTGGCTAGTAACCGTGCTGATTGTAAGTTCCCCTGGGGTTGCCGACCGTAGCCATAGCTACTCACCGGCAGCTATGGGTTCATTGGTCAGTATTGGTCAAAACATGTCGCAGTAAGTATTGTGAACCATCAATTCCATACATTGCCACAATCATCATGATCCCTACTACATGTGGCAAATGGTTCGCAAGGTATAATCGCCTTGTAGGCTATCATTTGTCTCAAATGGAGTTCTACCATTTTAAAGATGCAACATATTGCTGTATTCACATGTATATATTCACATTATTCACTAGTCAGCTGATTGCTTGATGAACATGTATAAACATATATTAAAAATTATTAAAATATATTAAAATATCATTTATAATCATTTATCATAATTTATCCAAATTTTCTCATTTCTCAATATTTCTCCCAAGTAATACCGACTTTTGAAATTTTTGAACGAGTTTCTGTATCCGCCTGGTGCTTCCTCCCTCTCGAAGGCGCCCTGCAGGAGCTGCGCCGCGCGGCGGTAGCGCTCCGGCAGGGGCGCCTCGCCCGGGGAGCTGCCGCAGCTCTCGGGGCCGCTCCTGGGGTGGAAAAATCATGGGAAAACCATGGACAAAAACATACAAAAACCATGACCAGGGAACACGCCAGAAATCATCGGGAAAAATGGAGAAACTTGATGGTAAAGGTGAGAAATGATGGAGATACTACCATTATGGGTATATGATGGGGATTTAGCCACTGAACAAATGGAATATATGGAATAATGAACCAGTGAAGTATGGAGGAGTTACGGATTGACCCATCAAGTATCTGGTCAACAAGTATTGATATGCTATGACAGGTACATCGATTTTCCCTTCAGTAAAGATTTTTAATATCATTAAATATCCATGTGCATTTGCGGGATTTTAATGGGTAAATGGGATGTTTTTGTGGATTTTGGATCCAATTTACCAGGCAGATTGGAGACATCAGAGATGAAGGGAGAACAAAAGGAAACCCCGAGCATTTATCTCACCCCGAACATAACAATTAAATAAATTAAATAAATGGGAATAAATATGAATATATATGTGCGTTTCCAGTAAGTTTTCACGGAAGAACAACTTCTGGGATCCGAAGGTCAAAAATAGTTGTAAAAGTGATAGGATGACCACAAATCAAATGGGACACATATTATGCACACATTTTATTTGCAAAAATGGTAGAAAATCACCAGCCCATACATATTTTCCGGCAAAAAACGGAGGTTTTTTTCATGAATATCTAGGGGGGTTGCAACGGCAAAGCTGGTGAGAAACCATCAACTCATGGGTATTTTGCTGATCTAACCTGGCAATGGAAAAGCATCACAGGCTTCACAGGAAAAATCTTCGAAATTTGTAGCTGAGGCACCGTATCAGCGCCTTGACCTCCTCCAACTGGGTAGAGGAGCCATGGCCCAAGTTGTCGGACGTTGGCAAACGTCCAGCATTCACCTGGGGTCACCATCGTATTTCACCCCTCAGGAAATCTGAGAACGGAAACCCACCATTCATTTCGGTGAAACATAGTAATATGGTAACTACAATTAACTACATTAATATACGGACTTTTTGAAATCTTTTAAATATACGAACAGGTATTTTACATACGGTAACAGCATTTATACGAACTAGTATTTCATACTACCTCCGGGGCCTCGCGGTCTGGCCTGCCCTCCACATATTTAAATGTTGTTACCGTAGAAGTAACATGACACATTCATAAGTAGCGGGTTTTCCAGGGCTGGTGGCTCCAACGCGCCTGAAAAGGAATATTGGCGATCATTGTCCCAAATAAGATGAACAAAAAAGATATTACACCACCGTAGGCCCCAAACAGTGGGTAGATTCAAGAAGTGTTTGGAGGAACATGGAGGAACAGGGTCAAACACATGAGAAAGCATTAAGAAACCCTAACTGTACACTGTTTGAGGAAAAATGCAAAATGAAACCGCCCGAAACAAGAAGAGAGACAAGCTGGGAGACAAGACCTCGGGAAGGCAGAGACACACCATCCAACAAAAGGAAACACGAAGCGAGACGATGGGAGACACGGGTGAGACACGACCTCGAGAAGGCGGACGCACCATCTAACACAGGGGAGGACTCATTGGCGCACATGAAAGTGACCCACCTGCGCACTGGATGCCAGACCCACCTGCGCACAGGAAACGAGACTCACCCGCACAGGATACAGACTCAAGGGGAACAGGGGGGAAACAGGGGAACAGGGGGGGAACAGGGGAACAGCGGAACAGGGGGGGCAAGGTTTTACACACAGAAGCTTCTACACACAGCAAGCTTTTACACACAGAAGCTTTTACACACACACAGAAGCTTTTGCACACAGCGACGCTACGACACCAGGAAGCTTGTGCACACAGCAAGCTTTTACACACAGAACCAGATACACACCGACGCTTTTACACACAGAAACTTTTACACACAAGAGCCGTTCTACAGCGACGCTTTGACACGCGGAAGCTTGCGCACATTGCTCCAATGTTGTCAGCAAAAACTCCACTCACACAGACGTGCTACTTGAAACAGAAACTCCTGATGCTAGTTATACTCATGATTATGTCGATGATGATGATGATGATGAATATGAATGAAGGTGCATCCCGTGCACAGGCGAGTCTGGCCATCCGGTGCACCAGCGAGCCAAAATCCCGTGCACACACGAGGCGGTTATCCATGAACCATCTAACACAGGCATATATGTGGGGAGCCAACGGAAATAATGGGAGACAAGGGGAGACAAGACGTCGGGAAGGCGGACACACCATCCAACACAGGCACACATGTGGGGAGACAATTGGAGACAAGCGAAGACAATGGGAGACAAGACCTCGGGAAGGTGGACACACCATCCAACACACGCACACATGCGGGACAACAATGGGAGACAAGGGGAGATAAAACCTTGACAAGGCGGACGCACCATCCAACACAGGCACACATGTGGGGAGACCGTGGGAGACAAGACCTCGGGAAGATAGACACAGCAACCAACACAGGCACACACGCGGGGAGACAATGGGAGACAAGGGGAGGCGAGACCTCGAGAAGGCGGACACACCATCCAACAAAAGGAAACGAGAAGATCAAGAAGCGAGACAATGGGAGACAACGTAATTAATTACACACCATTCAACACCTCCGGAAGGCGGACACACCATCCAACAAAAGGAAACAAGAAGGGAGACAAGGGGAGACAAGACCTCGAGAAGGCGGACGCACCATCCAACACAGGCACACATGTGGGGAGACGATGGGAAGGCGGACACACCATCCAACAGAAGGAAATCCCTACTCTCCACTTGTCTCCGCTGGTCTCCCTTCTTGTTTGCTTTTGTTGGATGGTGCGTCCGCCTTCGCGAGGTTTTGTCTCCGCTTGTCCAAGAAAGGAGACAAGGGGAGACAAGGGGAGACAAGACCACGGGAAGGCGGACACACCATCCAACAAAAGGACACAAGAAGGGAGACACTGGGATAAGAGGGGAGACAAGACCCTCCGGAAGGCGGACACACCATCTAACAAAGGGAAACAAGAAGGGGTACAATGGGAGACCTGGGGAGACAAGACCTTGGGAAGGCGGACACACCATCCAACAAAGGGACACTAGAAGGGGTACAATGGGAGACGAAGGGAGGCAAGACCCTCAGGAAGGCGGACACAGCATCCAACAAAGGGAAACAAGAAGAGAGACAAAGGGAGACAAGACCCTGGGCAAGGTGGACACACCATCCAACAAAGGGAAACTAGAAGAGGTACAATGGGAGAAGAGGGGAGACAAGACCCTTGGGAAGGCGGACACACCATCCAACAAAGGGAAACAAGAAGGGGTACTGTACAATGGGAGACAAGATGCTCGGAAGGCGGACACAATCTCCAATGAAGGGAAACAAGAAGGGTACAATGGGAGACAAGACCCTCGGGAAGGCGGACACACCATCCAACAAAGGGAACAAGAAGGGGCAGGGGAGACAAGACCTCGGGAAGGCGCACGCACCATCCAACAAAGGGAAACAAGAAGGGGTACAATGGGAGACAAAGGGAGGCAAGACCTTCCGGAAGGCGGACGCACCATCCAACAAAAAGAAACAAGAAGGGAAACAATAGGAGACCAGGGGAGACAAGACCCTCGGAAAGGCGGACACACCATCCAACAAAGGGAAACTAGAAGGGGTAGAACGGGAGACAAGACTCTCCGGAAGCAGAAGGCAAACACACCATCCAACAAAGGGAAACAAGAAGGGCTACACTGCTACACTGGGAGGCAAGGGGAGACAAGGGGAGACAAGACCCTCGGGACACCGGACACACCGTCCAACAAAGGGAAACAAGGAGAGACAAAGGGAGACAAGACCCTGCAGAAGCGGAAGGCCATCCAACAAAGGGAAACAAGAAGGGGTACAGTGGGAGACAAAGGGAGACAAGACCCTCGTGAAGGCGGACACACCATCCAAGAAGGGGTACAATGGGAGACAAGAATCTTGGGAAGGCGGACGCACCATCCAACAAAGGGAAACAAGAGGGGGTACAATGGGAAACAAGACCCTCAGGAAGGCGGGCACACCATCCAACAAAGGGAAACAAGAAGGGGCACACTGGGAGACAAGGGGAGATAAGACCCCGGGAAGGCAGGCACACCATCCAACGAAGGGAAACAAGGGGTACAATGGGAGATTAGACCCTCGGGAAGGCGGACACACCATCCAGACAAAGGGAGAAGAGCCTCGGGAAGGCGGACACGCCATCCAACGAAGGGAAACAAGAAGGGGCACAATGGGAGACAAGGAAGGGCAAGACCCTCCAGAAGGCGGACACACCATCCAACAAAGGGAAACAAGAAGGGGTACAATGGGAGACCACAAAAGACAAGACCCTTGGGAAGGCGGACACACCATCCAACAAAGGGAAACAAGAAGGGGTACAATGGGAGACGGGGGGAGACAAGATCCTCCGGAAGGCGGACACAACATCCAAGAAATGGAAAGAAGAAGGGAAGGCCGACACACCATCCAACACCAAGGTGGACACCTTAATATAGCATTAAGAATCCCCCAAGAGTACAGTGTTTGGGGAATAATATATAATTGCAGTGACTAATTAGCTAACACATCCCACCTACAAGACTTGGCGTTTGTGGGGCACACTATTTGGTCACATCTCATTTTTTTAATTCTCTGGCTGGTCAATGCTAGTCACCGTTGGCACTTCCACATGTTCAGAGCTTCCATCCATCGAAAACTCCTCCAAGCCAGCGCGCGAGATGGATGGCGGCAGGGGGCCAGAGCCGCCCCCACGCCACGCCGCTCGATCCCGGGGCATGGCCCGCAATGAAAGCTAGGAGGAACCCACATGCTTCGACTGAGAATGGCTGCGGCCCGAGAAACTGACAAGATGGTGACAACGTCGGTATGGCCAATCGCGACACATTTTTCAGGCCAAGATGCCAAATACCTACTCTAGCCAACGAAAGTGGGGATTCCAATGGGTTGTACGCAGAAAATTGGCCGGTCCGAAGAGACAAGTGCATCTACAGGATTGAAATCATCCTTACATATCCTTCCCATTTATCCAATGATTGGATGATAGTCTGATATAGTCTGATAGCCCTTCCAGCAGGGCTGGCTGTCCCTTTCAGCCGCTCTCCTTCACTCCCCCGGTGGTCTGTGGCTCAGCGGCGGCGCAGCGGGTGTGGCCGCTCAAGTGCCAAATGATCTGCACAGGGCTGGACAGGTGGGACTTACTACATCATTGTCGAGATGTCATACTAGTAGAGCACTCTAGGATCGTGCGAACAGATATATGATATATCAAACATGGTTGAGTATGCTTAATCTTGGGGAAGGCGCTGAATGGCTGAATCACCATTTCTCTGAACATTAGAAGTTCCTACTGGGTGCACTGTAGTGGCAGGGTGGCTGCTTAGCTACTGCAGGGTTGGTGGATGCAGAACTCGATGGATGTTTATCTGGGCGTCAATCTTTGTGAGTTTCAACTTCTATCATTGCAGAACTGTTTGCCAGTGCGAGTCTGGGTCACCTACAAATATGAATCCCATCAATGCCCATCATGCTCTCATGCGACTATTAAGAAAGGCGACCGAATCTATCGCCTGTTTACTTCGATTTTTTTTCTCATGTTTTACTCATGGCTTTCTCATCTAGTTCCACATCTTTCATCATTTTTCTCCTATTTATACCGATTTATACCTGTATATATAATCATATTACAATCATCTCCCATGTCTGGCCGGAAAACAAAATTTGCATTCTGCAGCTCAGCCACGGGGGGCGGATCTGAGGACAGGTCTGCCTGGTGCAAAAAGGGATGGAAATGGCTACCCTTTGGGATTGTCAGAAATAGCAATGGGATGCAATGGGAAATTCGCCAGAAACAGAGGTTTTAGATGGTTTTAGTGGGAACCTCATCCATAATGGTGGATTGTCCATTGCTATGTTTGATTACGCAACCCAACAATAAATCTCCAATTGGGGGAGTATATTCGTTGAATCCATTTGTATCCATTTGCGTTCAATTTGGGGTTGTCTATGATTGGTTTCGCGACATTCACACCCAGAACTGTGTGCGTATGTCTGTGCATGTGCAACATGTGCAGAATCTGCACATGTTTTTCAATCGCATGTGTGGTTGCAAGTGCGCATCATTTTCTTGCACTGACTCTCTTGTCCTGTGCACTTTCAATATTTTTCCATCTCCCTCGGGAACCTCCCACCACAGACCGAACACCTACCTTTGCCTCCAGGTACAGGTCAGCATTGGTAGTCTCATGGGTAGATATACTATGATAATCCATGATATATCCATGATATACCCTGCAAGTTGCGGAAACTGCCCATGTCGCAAAATGTTCCACGCCAGCGGCCTCGCCGCGCTTCCGAAGTAACGACCTGACGATGGATAGGGATCTGTAAACTCATGACCATTTCACTAAACTGTTGAGAACACAATAAGTGCTCCACCTCCAAGTTCTTTTCTGGGAGGGAGGTAACCAATTGTTGGTGTACCGAAATTCATTGAAAAATTGAACATGCCACGAAGTAGGTGGTTCCAAGTTCCAACTGTCCTGAGAATATTTGCAACCACCAGCTATTCTCGAATCTTTGCAATCTTCGTTCCCAAACTGGTACTTAATGTTCCGATCAGGGACTTTTGCCTATAGGATTAATTGGTAGAGATGGTAGAACATGGTAAAGTACAGCGTAGTACAGCCATTGATGAATGTTGGGGCAGGATTGGGTCCCAAAGTGGGCCACGAAAATCGTGCAGTGGGTGATCAAAACCAGGTCTTGCTGTCAGGAACCTCCCTCGCTCAGCTGAGAAACAGTCTGCCATGCTGCAGCTTCACCAAATAGAGTCGCCAGGAAAAGAGCCGCTCATCGTCTTGGACATCTGCAAAGCCCTAAGGCACCGGGATTGATCCGAAGGTCTTGGCTGTGCTGCAGTTAGGGATGTTCAATTCATTTGAATTCAACCTATGAGGCAACCTATCCCAATTATATACATGAGGTGCTGTTACCCCGGCAACCATCGCAAACCTGTAACATCCTTTAACAACATGAGGTCCTACTCAAGTTCCTAAGATCCCAAAAGCATCTCAAGGTAAAAGGACGTCTTTCCCCAGGGAACAAACCTCAGAGATGCTCAGAGGTAGAGAGGTCCGGTTTCTGCTCACGACTCATGATTTTGACCCAAAACTTTTGCCAAGCTGCTCGAAGTTCGAGGTCTTGAGATCTCTCTGGCAGCGCGGCGGTGAGCTTTTGTTTTCCAGCCTCTCGAATTTCAGAGAGCACAAATAGTAACTGTCCAGATCTTCAAAATGAACCGAATGCATCTTTTTTGGGTAGTACATTTTACCCACAGCGACACAGTTGATATATGTTAATATACCATCACTGGATGAAATGAGACGAGTGATTCTCGTTTCCTTGATTGCTTCAAAATTCGCAGAAGCTTCCAGTCACACGTGTTTGAACACCAGGGCTGTATAGGGCTGTAGATGAAGTCCAACGGTGGGTCGGGGACTTGCACTGAAAGTTTGTCCCCGAAACTTGACACCAACGAATTCCTTCTTACATTTGAACTCATTTATGCCACCAGCGCTGGCCACAACAGCCTGCGACTGTGAAGTACCAAGACCAATGCGAACTTCACCCTGGCAGCCAATCATCACGAGGAGCATCATGATGAACTCTCAGAATCTCATAGAATTTCCAGATTACCAATTCCACATTGTCATTATCATCCGGGATTGTTATATTTTTCTTTCTCTCTCTCTCTCTCTCTCCCTCTCTCTTTCTCTCAATATATATATACACATATATATATATAACTATATATATATGTATATATATCCTCATTTGTTGTATCTTAATATATATATATATACAGTATACACATCATACTAAATTATGGTTTTAGGATGGCTCAGGTAGGAAACTCAGTCGCCTCTGGTGCCAAGACCGCTGCATGTCCTGGTGCCAGTGGGGCATCCAGCAGTTCACCTCGGGTTCTCAAGCTGCCTCATTCTCCCAAAAATCAACTCTTGAAATCCCATCCCCCTTGATGGGTAGGTACCCTTACCCCACCATTCCAAAAAAAATGGTTTATATAATGGTTGGGTACAGGTATATTTGTATAGAATGAATCCTTTTTCGGCCTTATATGTTATGGAATACCACCATTGTACTACCTAGCTAGGGGCCGAATATGCAAAAAAATGTTTCGCCACTATGTTATGGAAATGGCATAAAAAAAGAAGGCTTGAAACCAAGAAAAAATGATTTATATATTATGGAACGGGCTGCATCTTGAAGGGGTCATTTTAAGGTATCTTAAGATATTTTAAGGCAAAAAACATATTGCTTATGTTCGGACACGTTATCATACTCGAACCATCCTTTTTATAAACAACATAGGTGTTTGTGAAGTTCCCTTGTATGAAATTGAAATGCTATCAAGTGTTCCCAATGAAATTCAAGTTGGGTTTATGTTATTTCAAGACGTTCCATCATTTTATACAAATCATTTGGGGGTTGTTCAAAATTATGGTGCCCGAAAACTGCCCTTACGCCACCCTTTCGCGCCCCAGCAGAATCGGGACAAGGAATTATGATATTTTTTTCGTGTGCATATATGTTTATAAATATATAGTGGTATGCAGACCTTTCGCGAACCTTTCGCCGCCCTTTCGCGGTCTTGCACCACTGCAGCAAAACACACACATCCATATCTGCAGATGTCACTCTTCTAATGTTTCTGGATCTCGTGATTCAAAAACTTGATTTTTCATGATTTTTCCATTTTATACAGTGAAATGTGTGTCCAGATTTACCCCGCATGTCGGTGTATAAAATGGATAATCTTCCAGATGTTTCTGGATTTCGTGCTGCAAATATTGGATTTTTCATGATTTTCCATTTTATACACCGATATGTGGGGTAAATCTGGACAGGTTTACCCCAAGTTTAAAATGGATAATCTTCTACATGTTTCTGGATTTCGTGTTTCAAATACTGGACTTTTCATGATTTTCCATTTTATACACCGATATGTGGGGTAAATCTGGACAGGTTTACCCCACGTTTCGATGTATAAAATTGATAATCTTCTACATGTTTCTGGATTTCGTGTTTCAAATACTGGATTTTTCATGATTTTTCCATTTTGTACACCGATATGTGGGGTAAATCTGGGTTTCTTTTGATTGTCTTTTGGATATCTCTTGACTGTCTTTTGAATATCTTTTGATTTATAGACATTCAAAAGCTAATCAACAGACATTCAAAATCCACATGCAGTATGACACGATACATGTCAAAAAAATACCCACAACATATCCCAATGCATATTCAAATCAGATGCAATCCGTCAACCTACAACACATTGAAGACTATTTACCTGTCATTTGCCCACCATAAACGTGACATTTTCATTTTCTCGTTGTGGCCATGTGGCCTGGAGCAGGGAGGCACAAGGGAAACTCCGGAGGTCCACCGACAGCCCACGGGGACGGACATAACCGTGGCACAACAGGGATAACACAACGGGAGGGAAACAACGAGAAAATGAAAAAAATAACGTTTATGGTGGGCAAATACGAAAAAATTGCTTGTGTAGCATATTGTAACATACTTGGATATTTTTAAAAATTGATTTCTATCCAGGAATTCTGTACACAATCAGTTTTAAAACACTCAGTGGTTCATTTTCACGGTATTGCAATGAAATTTTAAAAGATTTGTTCCAAATATTTTTGTCAAAATATGTTGAAAAATAGATTTCCATCATGGCACAAAATTGTGCCCCGCAGGAGCATAACTGGGCCAATGCCATGCAAAAAATGCCGCAGGGGGTGACGTCGTGACGTCGACTTAAATCGCATCATGTTTTACAAAATGGATCGCAAAGGCCGCAAAGGCAGCTGGATCATCTATGTTGTATGAAATGGAAGGCGGCTACATAATTGACACATCAACACTGGTTAAATTTTAACGTTTCTCCATGCCACCTTATTACTTGTATATTATGGCATTCCAGACCATATAAAAAATGATAAAAAAATAACATTTATATTATGGAAACACCGATTTTGGGGGCTAATGAGTCCAAAGAAAAATACAACTGAATAAAATGGAATTGCAACCTTAATGAAATGGAGGGTCCAACATGGCACCACAATTTAAGGGTGTTTTCCCCCGTTTTCCAAAATGGGCCGTGTATGAAATGATCCTGGGTTTTCCATTTCATACGGGACATGGGTTCTTCCATTCCATAGAGCTTCAATCAAGGGGGATGAAATCCCCATGTTGTAGATACTGTTGTTGGTTGTTGTTGGCGGTTGTTGCACTCTTTATAAACAAATAAATCGAAAATTATAAATACGTTAAAATAAATATGTGAATACTTGAATCAAAACATCAAAGCTTACAAAAATAAATCCATAAATATGAAAATATATACATGACATAAATAATTACACATATTATCTTATATATACATACATTCTCGCACAATAGTCAAACATACTGGTTTATAGACTATAGACACATATTTTATGATTTGATGTGGTTTCAACTCCGTTGGTATACCATGGCACCATCTTTGATCGAACAATCTGCCTTGGGGATCCGGACGATCCGAGACTTGAAGCAGCAAACCCGTCTTGTTGAACACCAGGCACCTTGGGAATGGCTGGATACCAGGGCTGGGTGCTGAAATGCCTGCCAGCCTGAGGTGCTTGAAGAGGAATAGTAAGGAATATTGATATATCTTAGAATATAATACTAACATATAGATATACTTGTTATTAGCGTTACTATTATTGTTATTCGAAGGAATGTTAGAAGTCAAACTTCCGACAATATGGACAGATGAAAAGCAGAGATGGGAAGAGTCAGAGAGAAGAGTAGAAGAGAGAAGATCAGAGAAGAGAAAGAGTCAGAAGAAAGAAGATGCAGGTGCGCGAAAAGGATCGAAAAGGAAGGAAAGTCGCGAAACGAAACACTGTGTTTGTCGAATGATTTGTGGCTCCGGAGGGTCGAAAAGTAGGCTCGCTAAAGCGGCGGGTGCGGAGCCATCTGGCTAGATGAGAGATGAAAAATTGCACGCCGTTGTGGCACGAAGCACATTTCGAAGTCAAAATGTAAAAAGCACACCAGGTCCGGACCACTTTTGGAATTTGAGATGTCGAAAAAGTGCATGCCGTTGTGGTGCGAAGCACATTTCTAAGTCAAAATGTACAAGGCACACCATGTCCGGACCACTTTTGGAAGTTGCGATGTTGAAAAAGTGCACGCCGTTGTGGCGCGAAGCACGTTTCGAAGTCAAAATGTACAAAACACACCAGGTCCGGACCACTTTTGGAAGATGAGATGTCGAAAAAATGCACGCAGTTGTGGCGCGAAGCTGCGAAGCACATGTCGAAGTCAAAGTGCAAAAAAATTATGGGTTCCGAACACTTTTGGACGTTCAGAATCGTTCAGATGTGCTTTCGCGTGGCAGGCGCAAAGGATTGTGCACCTTGTCAAAAGTGAGCAAAACGTGAGGGTTTTGTAGCATTTCGAAAAACGATGGCAGGCGTGGGGCCTTTGAAGAGGATCTTGAAATGCATTTCGAGTGGCACAAAAGACATGTTCATCAGAGATGTTAGGAGGTCAGGGCGCTGATTTCCTGAGATGGGTTGCATTTTGGAGCATCAGATCTTCAGGTTTGCTAAGGTGATTTTGCGTGGCAGGCGCAGCACTTCGTACGACCTGATATCACTTTTGCGTGGCAGGCACAGCACTTTACACAGATGGAGTGGAAACATCGCAAGACGCATTGGTACGAGGCCATCAGCGCTGCACTCAACTTTCGATTTTTGAAGAAAGTCTCGCAGAATTGCTTTGTTTTTGATGTTGTCAAAATCAAAAATTGAAGAAGTCTCGCAGAATTACTTCCTTTTGG